CCCCCCCCCCCCCCCGAGATTTTTTTTGAATCTGGAACCCATTCTGGTGCAGTTTGAGACATAAAATACCTATCATTTTTATATTTGGCTTGTAGTATTATTTTTTTTCAAATGCGTAATAATTAGTTCCATATGAACAAGGAACATTTTCTTTAAATAGTCAATAAAAGAAACAATATCAATGAGATAATGAATTCACTGAGGGCCCAGGATTATATGAGTTGTTAAAGTTTATCACATAAAGTTCTACAATGTGATCCTTGTTAAAAGTATACTTAAAAAAATTACGTGGAAGCCCGTGCGTCCGTGCGTACGCCTGGTTACGTCTCTGCAGACCCAATTCCCTCTCTTCTCTCTCTGGAGAAGCAGACACTTGAAATCTTGCTCAATATCCAAGTATTGATTTGCATTCGTTTAATTACAGGGGTATTTTGTCCGTGGTGTTTTATCTGAACCTTATTTCTAAACTTAAAGTATCCTGTTAAAACGAATTTCAGCACTTTTTTTCACCCCAGTGAGATATTGTGCTAGGGTTGAGAAGTCGTATAACTTTCACTATAAAACACAGACTGGCTAACAGACTCATTGGTCTAGAATTAAACGTCATCGTACTCTAGACTTGAGCAAGTCTATCCCTTTAGATGAGACACGAAGGAGAAAAGAGCTAGGAACAAATGGGACATTAGCAAGTCTGCGAAATCTCCATTCTTTATATTTTCTTTGCAAATATTACCAGTGAAATCTTGTTTTATCCAAAACATTGGTCTCGTCGATGTTATGTTTGGACAAACTTCAGTGTTAGCGCATTGCTGCGCTTCAAATCCTCCAGACTGTCACAACATTTGCCTCCATATAGAAACTATACAAAGAATCAATGTAAGATGTGTCTGTGAGCATTGATATTTCAATGGTAACAGATGTTTAAGATCGACCGTACCGCTTAAGTTGTACATCGAAGTCCGCCCCAGCTGTCGTGTACTGTCTATTTATCTGTAACATAGCTGAATTGTCTGTGTGTCAAGCAAAATAGCTATTGGGAACCGTCGGCACTTTCCGTAACCGATTGGCAAAATAGTACTCAAATTTCTTGTTTAAAGACCCCCGTACCACTGCCGAAAAACTGTAACAAAGTGTCATAAACTGTTTTTCCTGTCTCTGATTAATCATTTTCGAAACCTTGACATACCTTGCGGGACTTTCATGAGAAGAAAAAAAGATGAAATAAACAAAATATAATCAACAACAGTGTTTTGAGTGTAACAAATCAGTGGGTTTATTATCACACGGAGGTCGGTGAATTTGTGGCCTTGACTCGGTGTTTCTATTTAGAAAAAGCAGGTTAATATTCACTGTATGTTGTCATTTTTATTGTGACGTAACAATGATCTCTTCCAAATGCATATGTAACTTTTTTCGCACAATTTTCACGCGTTCCATTCTGCATCTAACATAATAATTTACGACTTTTGTTGCGGTGATTATGTAATTCGCAATCGTAACATCTCGGCAAATTCCGTCAGTACTCGGAATTGCCAAAGATGATACATGAACAAAGCCACCTGTATGATAGTATATATATATGATATCATAATTTAAGTTTTACTTCTTTTCTGTATTTTCAGTTACTGGATAAACAGAAGTTTTTACTTGTGTTAGTGACAAAATCAAGTAAGTACAAGAAACACAAATAGCTATTTACAGCCTCCGTTGACATACCTTGGCGATAAGTGAAATGGCAAATAAAATGGCGGGTATAATATTGATGTTCACTCTATTGTAAAAATCATGTGTGAAGTGATGCAGTCTCGTTCAACCAGACTCTTACAAGTGATCAAGCGACTGGTTGAACGAGACTATAAGTGATGCTGTGTGACTTTATGTCAAGTACGTGCACGCCCTGTAAGTAGAAACTCTAAACTAAAATGATGCGGAGCGCACGCTGTATAATTGTTTCGCTTGTTTTTAGAATGTACGCCATGTAACCTAATCTTCCCAAAGTTTTGGGCTGCCTCCCAAGCGTACGATCAGGATGTGATATTTGGGCGCATGAAGAGTAAGGCACTGGCCAAAAAATACGATGTTCAGGTTTTCCCTACACTCGGATACTTTGAGCCGGGGAAAAAGCAATTTACAAAGTAAGTATATAACTTAAGTGTATTTTCAAATTGTTTTACTAAAAGAGAGTTCAAATGTGTAAATAATATTAGTTTGACTGAAAAGTGATGACGTCATCATCCCTACAATTTGTGTGACGTCATATGTACATCACTTACCGAGGATTTGCGCACAAATTTTGGAAATGCTTGTCGAAAGTTAACTTTATGTATGTATTAACTATATACATATCAACGTCATTAGTGACGTCATCATGTGTATTACCGTTAGATAATCAACGCCGAATACAGGGAATCATTTGTGCGAAACATTGTCATTGTCGTTGAAATAATTTGATTCATAGTTGTTGTTAAATGAATAAAGTCAAAAATAAATAAAGATGAAAATAAGATGATTTTTTTAAAAAAGATTGTCACAAGATGAAAAAATAAATCTCTTGTGGTTTTTGTGACATTGTTGTGATCTGTTTGTAGGTTTGAAGGCGATATTACCGTAGATACCATTGTGGAACTAATAGCAAATAAGTTAGGCTCAGATTTTGCTTACGTCATGAAGCAGTATTCGACACGACTGGACTCGTACAACTTTCACGGGATTGTCTCTTCCTGGGGTTTGAAGGCCATGGTTCTACTATATAACAGTAGTAAGTGGAATCTTGATTTCAAGGCATGTCTCCTTACATCTCCAGCACACACGCAGGCATACACACATGGGGAGATATTAGCCAGGCGGCATAGGACTTGTAGTTAACGCCTGATAAAGCAGCTCCTGTGAATTCCTCAAAATTGATTTAATGTATATGTTAATTGTAATAAATGTATATGTATGTACTGAAAAGCACTTTGGAGTGACTTATTCTAGCTAAATAGGGCGCCACATCAAATGTTGTATATTATTATTATTATAAAACGAAAATAACACATGGTCAAGGCTAGCTTTGTGTGGTATATATCCAATTATAAGATTCACTGTTAACCTGGGTAAGCAAACACATATTCAAGATCATGTGCAATTGAGAGAATTCAATATTCGTGAAATAATTCACTAAAATATTTTATAACACGCGGATGTCATCTTAATTCCTTCAATCTACTAAATAAAGCAGTCTCGGTTAACTTATCCGGATTTTAAGTTCAAAATAATATCAAAAACTATACTTTCCATCATCCGGAATTGAGTTATCTACCATAGGTCATCTTAACAAACAAAAATATGGGTATGTCTTAAATTCTCCGTAATATTAGATTTATGTGTATTCCTGAACTTCAAGTTTTTCTATATATATGTGATCAGAAGCAAGTCCTAACTTTGTCCATGCTGATATGTAAACAAGTTATTGTGTACATGAATATAACACTTTATAGAGATCGTTTTATTTCTCCTTTTTCCCAGACGACGCAAACTATGAGAAGTTCCAGGAATTTGCGCGAATCTTTAAGAATGACGAGGAGGTAAGAGAAATCGAGAAATATGTTAACCCCATCGTTAAATAGCCGACATAGACGAAACGACAAGCTCCGGAAAGTCTGAAGTTTACAAGCAAACAAATTTATTTATAATTGAGTAAAAACAGTTTTATACATTTTAGCGGAAAACAGATTTAACAGCTGTTCATCTCCTAAACTTCAAGTTACAAGTGCATGGGCCGAACTTACCCCGGTATCCCCTTAGTCGGCGACATATACACTGTATATTAATCCGTATAATAAGGTGACATAAAATAGGAAAATGCCTTTATGCCAATTATTAAGCGCGAAAAGTGTGGCTAGTTTTTATTTTAAAGTTTGGGCAACACCCTAAATAAATTCCTGAATTCGCTCCTGCATTGTTTAGCGTATAGTTCCCTTTCTCGCCACCAGGTGATGCTACGTAGTATTCTCGTAAATAGTTGCCGTTTTAATCAGCAATAGTCCCTTTCCCACCACGAACCGACGGTACATTAACAAAAGTCTGTTCCTTTCTTTCCAGCAGGTGATGTTATATTAATTGAATGATTTCCTTTCTCAACAAAAGGTGGCGTTTCGTTAATCATAGTTCCATTTCTCACCACCAGGTGACGTTTCTCCACCTAGACGCGCGAGCAGAACCTGAGCTCCGAAAAGAGTACGTATGACATCCCGTGCAAATTTGTAAAAAATGAATATTTTTGACGATTTCACAGAATTAAAATACGAGTTTATACTTCGTCGATTACATAATGTTGATAATTTTAGCGGAATACATTTTCGCGGTGAAAACTGTTACCTAAAATAACGCAAAAAAATTAACGCTACTAGTTTAAACAAAATCTGTGTGTCCTATGCACACATAGCTTGTTTGTTGATTTGTTAAGCACGTGACTTTTTGTCTTTTTGTCTGCCCCTGACGCCGTGAATTTTAGAATACTGATGCTGAGTACAAGTTATATTGCCGTGAATTTCAGGTTTGTGACGTTGGCCTTCCCAACGTTGTACTGGATTGAAAATGATGAAAATCCAACTAAGAAGCGATACGGGGGCACGATGAATACACTTGAGTTCATGGGGTTCATAGAGGATCGCGCAGGCGTGTTCCGGGCCAAAGATGGCTCACTTCCGTCAAAGGTAATACTTCCGGTTATTCAATTACGAAACATAACATTTGCATTTATTTTGTCAATAAACGTTTTTACACGGATGAAAACAATTTTCTTGTGTCAAAGCATTATTTATTTTTCATGCGAAAAGGAATTATCTCTTAATGGAAGATTTACGATCTTTAAGAAAGGTAATAATTTTAATTAACTACGACTACAATAATCACGTTAAAATTCATTGCCATAATAATCAAACTATCAATAAAAGACTGGAAATATGTTTAAACAGGCAGGACGTATTGCTGACTTCGACACCCTCATCGAGGACAACATAGAAACTATAAGGAACGCGAAACGAATGGTAATCGTCCGGTGATTTTTTAAATTTAGATTTGATTTGAAACATATTTTATTGTAATTTATTTACAATGGGAGTTGGGCACAAGTTTAACAACTAATATTAAAGCCCTTCCCTACAATATATAAATACAAATATTTACATTGGCTTTAATTAAGAGATATAGACAGAGAGGTAGTGAAGACGNGAGAGAGCTAGATTCGGATTAGTTGGTAAACATGAAGGAGTGCAAGGTGATTTTTTTGGAGGGAGGGTGGGGGAGTCGAGGGGAGATAGGGGGAGACTGGGATGTCGTTTATTGAATATTGTCTGCTCGATGTGCCGTTTATAAGAGACGAAATGTTCACAATGAATAATATTTGCTGGACCTACAAAATATAATGTTTATCTAGATGTTTTAAGTATTTGTGATACTATACATAGATGTATTTGTAATGTTTCCCAACTCGAATGTTTACTAGCTCTAACCCGCCTATAGATATTGTTTACTATATATATCACAATGTTTACTAGACGTGTTTACTGGTAAAATGTGTATTGAACTGAATGCTAACTATCCTTGTCACCGTCAGAGGCGACTTATGTGGAACCCCTGAAGAATCGGGAGTTATTTTTCTCTGTCTTTAGCTGGTTCTTGTTTAGTAATCAGCAACGTCCTATTGGATATAACATTGATTGCACATGTGTGGCATGTACTGAATTATGAAATAATGACAGAGTCAAAAAAAATCATTAAATAAAACTGTGTACACCAGTGTCTGTCAACTGATGTTTGGTTGACAACCTCGCCTTGAATTCGTCCAAGATAGGCGCTCCGGTCGTATCTGGAGAGAGATTGTTCCACAGTAGCACTGATGTTGGGTAGAACGAATATCTGTAAGCATATATGGCATCAGCGAGCTGAATTGACAGTAACCACTAATGGTAGGATTCTGGGACGGCGAGTAGATGGTTCATCACTTGATAAAGTAGTACGAGGCTGCTCTGTTTTTTCATCATTCTTCAAGTGATTCCCATCCCATGTAAACAACAATTGACACCTGTATCTTTTCTTTTTTCCCCTTTCCTTCTCTTTCCTTCCGGCTGTGTCTCCCTATAGGCCCCCGTCTTCCTGTGACCTTACTTGAGCTGTTACAAGGACGCTTGACCATAAACAACCTAAATATAATGTTTACACGTACAATGCTCACTACATATGATGTATATTATATATAACATATATAATTTCCTAATTTCAGAGTGAACTGCTAATTGAAGCAAAAGATATCGCCAAGAACTATGAGAAAAACGAGTAAGTAAGAAACACAAAAACACACCCGTTTAGCAAATTCACGATTACTCTTCGAACGTCAATATTGGTTAGAAGGTATACCGGTCGTTAACAGGCCCGTTTTCCTAACTGCATTGTTAGTTATCATTTTAATGCGATGTGTATATATATATATACCAACTGCAGAGCATAACAAATACGAGAAGAAATGTATTATATAAAGCGAATCGACCTCGAAAAGGACCCATTTAATTAGAAATTCAAATAATCTTGTAATATAGTCTGTTTACAAAAACAGTTTTGATATAAAGACGAAATGTTCACAAACCGAAGCAAACGGTCTCCGATCACAGCGGGTTGTAAAAAATATGTACAAACTTATATTGTTTAGCGTTATGTGTATTCGTATATATTGATATAATTTAATTTTGCCTATCTCCCCCATAATAATTTGTTTGGTATATATCGTGAAAAACAACTGATGACGGAACTACTTTTTACACTTCAGAATGCAAAATTACAACGCAGCTTTTTTTTAGCGCAATTGTTTAGTTTTCGTAAAAATTAAATAAATCTTTAACTGTGCATTTACAACGTGTTTGTCTGCTTTTTTTAAATTAAATTATAAAGAATGCCCAAGATTTTGTTTCGGTATATACCGTATATACCAAAACAAAATCTTGGTCATTCCTTAAATACATATTACAAATGTACATGTTGATATACATATATATATGTTACACAAAATTGTTCGTTTGTGGAAATGCCCATTGGTTCCCCATCGAGCCAGACATTTTGTTAACTTGGAGTTATCTCCCGTCGTATAATCGAACTAATTTACAAGCATTGGCACATTCACTAATTACAATAGTTACCTGTTGTAATTTGACTAATTACAATATTTACCTGTTGTAATTTGACTAATTACAATATTTACCTGTTGTAATTTGACTAATTACAATATTTACCTGTTGTCATTTGACTAATTACAATATTTACCTGTTGTAATTTGACTAATTACAATATTTACCTGTTGTAATTTGACTAATTACAATTTTAACATGTTGTTATTTCACTAATTTCAATCTTTACCTGTTGCAGATTCACTTATTACAATATTTACCTGTTTTTAGAGTCACTACTTACAATATTTACCTGTTTTTAGAGTCACTAATTACAATATTTACCTGTTGTTATTTGACTAATTACAATATTTACATTTATAGATTCACTAATTACAATATTTACCTGTTGTTATTTGACTAATTACAATATTTACCTGTTTTATATTTACTAACTACAATATTTTCCTGTTGTTTTTCACTAGTTACAATATTTACCTGTTGTTATTTCACTAATTACAATTTTAACATGTTGTTATATCACTAATTTCAATATTTACCTGTTGTAATTTCACTAATTACAATATTTACCTGTTTAGATTCACTAAGTACAATATTAATCTGTTACGGTGTTAATTATAACAATATGTACCTGTTGCAGATTTGCTGATTATTACATTTACCTGTTGGAGTTAGTAGATCACCACGGGAGATTGGACCCGATACAGGATGAAAGGATGACTGTTCTAAAGGGACTCGCTACAGCCGACGGTATGTCCTCCTCTTCTTCGTTGTGTGGAAATTTAACCAGCATTATCATACTTAGTTTCCAATTAACGTACCCCTATATAATAGCCCCTTAAAATTTGGCCACCCAACATGGTCATTCGGCAACTGTCGGCACTTTCCGTAAACTAACAAAATTACGGAAAGTGCCGACGGTTCCCGATCGCTAACATGGTACCTGCTTACATGTACGAGCAAATGAATTCCATACCAGCACGGATTTTCTTTTCAAACATTATATTAACGTTAAAACCAACAAAAACAATTATAAGTTTCTTGATTATAAATTGTACTCGATGCAAAGATATATCTGTTTGTATTCTTTATATTGTTATATTATTGTACATATATGTTTTGAAAAGACGTTGATGAGTTAACCTAACTTTAAACATTAACAGTGTTTGTTTAAACAAAATAAAAAGTATTTCTATGAAATCTGTATGTGCATGCTAAGTTTAAACCAGAAGTAATCTCGCCGATGGATGGTATGGTTAAACAGAGCTTGGTAAAACAAGATTTCAGTCAGTGGGTGCATGCATCATATTTGATATATTAATTTGATTCCAGAGGTAACCTCGCCAAAGACGGTGGAGTACCTAACCAAAAGGAAGAACATTCTGTCTCAGCTGGTGGACGAGCTTGGTAAGGCGACATTCCAGAAAAACAAATATCAGTCCGAATTTGTCAATGTCGAGGACCTCAAACCCAAAAAGGACTACGTGAGAAAGATGGCGCCAGTTATCGGCATCGATGACGAGGATGACGAGGATAAAGATGTTGTAGTGGAGAAACCAAAGATTCATCGTCACGAGGAGTTGTGATGTCACGAAGAGTTGTGACGTCATATTGATGTGGACTAGTAGATCTATATCATTTTCAAATTGCATTAATTGAGTGCATTGTAGAATTGAATGTAGAGCGTAAATGAAGTGAAAGAGGAAGCTTTCTCTCGCCTATCACAAGATTTGAGAAAGACAGTTTAGAATATCACCCCTTGAGGTGGGAATTCTCTGTCAAACCATCACGGCAAGGGAAGATTCGATTTTTCAAGAAACTCTTAAACTGTCTACTTAAACATTAAAATGATCATTGTACGACTTTAATATCAAACATTCCATAATAAATCATTTGAAATCACTAACTTTTTCTCTGGTAAATTCTTTTCTCTCGTTCACGTGTGTTCAAGATTAGATTATCCGGGTTAAGAAGGAAAGCAGGCTCTTGGAGCAATCGGGAACCGTCAGCACTTTCCGTTTACGGAAAGTACCGACGGTTCCCGATTGGCTCTTGTCGGTGAAAGAAGAATCTATCTTTATAGCATTTCCGGCGGCGTAGTCGCAAGTGTGATGCCACAAAGGCAACATTACATGACGTGATGATTTGTAATGAAACGACGCCATGACAAACAGGGAAGCTGGGAAGATTTTTACTATATCTTGGTATGTTAAAGTTTTCTTGATTTATAAAGGTTTGAATATGAAAGAAAAATACTACTGAATGGTATAGTAAGATTTACCAGTGATGTAATAAATATGGTGCAGGGGTTGGAACCCCTGTTACATTTTAATGACGCATTAAAGATAGAATAGAAACAGAAGGTGTTTCCTTATTAATGATAAATTAAAACGAAATATGAAGTTTCTGAAATCCAAGATGTGCACATACAAACAAATCGTTTTGGGAATATTGGTTAAAACATACTAAAACTATATTAAACTTGGTCCAGAGTTCGTATTCAATAAAACATTCTCGCGCCTGTCCAGCCTTTATGCTCAATCTTAAATCATGGTTGAAGTCAAAATGACCTTTTAGTAATTCAGATTTTACTGTAGTCGTGTATCTTTTATCATTTCCATATGAAGTGATTTCTTAATCGCTCACAGGCTCGCAAGGTCTGCGTAATAAAAAAAATAAAAAAAGATATAAGCACATAACTTGAGTTTCATGACCGATAGCCTAGACATATGACACAGTTCATTTGTACAGTAAAACGCTGATTATCCGAACCCCGTTTAACCGAATTCCGATTATCCGACATTGTCTTGGCGCCCGATGAACTGCCTCATTTAATACTGTGCGACCGCTTATCTGAATCAAGTGTATGTGTTCCCGCTTGGTTGGTTCGGATAAACGGATCTATCCTGTTTATTACAATGGAGAAAAAAAAATAAGATTCACGGTTTTGGTAAAATATTTATTTACAGAGAGATTTAACACAGCACTGCATGAACATGTTATAATACTCTGGAAAGTGACAACAACAACGTTATGTAATACTGATGAGCATGAACGTAAGAAGATATAAATAAACATCTGGAATGGTCAAATCTTTTCCCATAAATACAATAACCAAAGCTATTTTACTCATTAAGGTCGAGATACATTAACTGATTTAAAACCGGTTTCCGAAAAAGAAAAATATTAAAGAAAATGTTACGTTACATAAAGAATAGTACTTTCATTTTTTTTTAAATCTGATATTATATCCGCAGAAACTGCGTCATTTCAGATTGATTTATATGTAAATACATGTTGTGCATAAACAAAAAGCATATGAATGGTATAAATATCACATTGGAAAAGACAAATATTGTAAACAACTCCATAAATAGACTTTATCTATAAACTATGATAAAAAATGAAACAAAACATTTAACAACAAATACTGAGATGGGCGTTTTAGATAATACTTTAGGGTAAATCCGGATCCACACACCCGGTTGTGACGGTTTCGTCTAATATACTCAAGTATCTGGATTCGGTTTAACAATACTGCTCAATAATAAAATTTGAGCAATGACTAACTGATGTGTTCACAGTTCCGATTGGTTATAAATGTTTGTAACAAAACTGAGTGTTGGTCCTTGAGAAATTTTGTTACAAATCTCCTGATTGGTTGTCTCCTCTTGAAACACTGAATACTATTGGTTAACCGACTATCTCCATGCCTCTGAAGCGATGTTCCTGCTGTACTGTGGGTAGGTATCCCTGTATCGCGCACTGTATAAAAAGAATATGTATTCGAGTTTAATTAAACAACAAAATCATTGAAAAATATTAATATTATAAAAATAGAGGTTTGAATAATATCGTTATGCAAATTAACAAGAAAAAAAATGTCAATACAATAAAAAGAAAATTCAATCAATAACGTCATAAAGACCCGATTTGAGATCGATGTTGCAAGTAAAAGTCTGTTTGCATATCAAGGCACAACCCGACCGAGGTCACTTAAAGATTAAAGGCATTTACAGGTGACAATATGGAACTACAAAGATGTAATAAAGATCGAGACATGACGTAAACAAAAGAGTTTAAGATAGAAGGTACTCACAAGACGTTAGCCGGCATTGGTTTCTGTCCGTACTGGTCTAGCGTTGGTTCCTGTTTTAGGGTGTACTGTAACGCCAATAATGGTATATGTTTACTATAGCCAATGATAACTAAAATCCTTCAAACATTAGACAGCGGCAGGAAAACCTTGGCGAAATATTTCAATTTCATATTATTGAAATAATAGTTGCCGCATACAATGTCTATGTTTGTCTCTTGACCATAACTGTTAATAGGACGTACATGTACAACACAAATAAACAAATCTATTGAAGCCGTTTTCACACAAAGTAAAAGTGCGACGCTTATGACTAATCATGAATGACAGATTGAAGTGACCACTAAGAGATTACTTTACTCCTTCAAGCTACCAATCACAGGTGACTTTGAGTGGGTCCACACTCCTATTACTTACCCTCCAGGATTTAGTGATCTCGGGTCGGAGGTAACGTACAGAGTATCCCAAAAACTGCTGATCTGTAATGAAGGAAGGATGGCATTAATGGACATTCATCGGCTACTTTGGACCAGATAGTCAAATAAACGGAAACGTGCTTTTAAATTTCATATTTGTCCGGACACCATCAGCAAACGTATAAGTCAGATCTTTTATTGTTCTAAAAATGTCAAATATGCTAATATTTTGAAAGCTGTATATTCTCATATAATAGCTCGGCTTACGTTACCTTTGCTGTTCGGAAGCTCCGGCAGTTTAATATTAAAACGCTCGGGTGATCTGTTCAGGAAATCGGACCATTCTTCTTTCGCTTTCCTGAAAATCAACAAAGAAAACGTACAGTGTGCTCATTATGATCAAGTGTATTATGTTATTTCAAAGATTTCCTGGTCACGGCACTAATTGTGAAATGTCCTTTAATATTCGAATGTAAACAGCATGTCTGATACTTGTTATCGGGGTAAATTGTATGTATTACATTAGCAGCGGATACCGTGGTAATGGGTGTCCGGTTTTTGTCTGTGAACCAAACAACTAAAACCAACTGTGACGTCACATGGACACAGCGTACTTACTTGAGTTCGTCGGGCGTTGTGTAGTGTCTGTGGAGCTGTTTTCCTGTTTGTGTTATTTCCTGTAAACCAAGACAACACGAATTAACAAAATGAAGATGAACAACTGAAAACATACAACAAAAACACCCTTTTTCAACCTTTAAGACAAAGTAAACTAAGAAAGCATCCAAGAATCATAAACATCTGATAACATGAAGATTTGACACGTCAATATTACATCAGAAGTAACTAAAGTTATCAATGTTTTCAGAGTGACTACGATACTCTCACAATGGTCAACGTCCTAGAACCGCTTTTATCTCAAATTGTACTGTCGAGTCGACTATGTCTAACCGCTGAGATTAGTATACATGTCCATATTGAAATTCCAGGGGTTGCACTCACTTAAGTTTCATGATTCCTGGAATATGTCACGACGAAAGCAAATTTCATAATTTTGACGTACACCAAATTTAACTAATCTACTGGTATCATCCACCAGGTGGCAGGTACAGAGCCTTCGACTTCGTAGACTCGTTCACAGAAGTGATCAAGCGTCTGTTTGAACGATACTATCGACTTTGTCATGACATGAGCGTAAGCACAGGAATTTTAGGATGACACGTGTCAAACGCTCGTACATAAACATGAAACAAAAGTATGGAAATCCATGCTCACCGGACTAGAGTCATATATGGAGACGTTTACTCACCATACTAAATAAATGCTGGAGAAATCTACTCGTCAGAATAGAGACATAAAACAAATTTCTTGCTAATTCTCCAGCCCAGAATGAAAGCAATGGTACCGCGACGGCGGAGCATAATACGCCCGTCATACATTGAATGAGCAGTTGTCTGTATTGTACATAAAGGGCCATAACTCCATACATTAAGGTTAGACAATGGTGGTTATCAAGTTGTTTGAGCTATCATAATAATGGACCTTCCAATTAAGTTTGAAGTTAAGCCGTTGAAAACTACTGGAGATATTGAGCAGACATTGTTTTGACAATTGAATAAAGGGTCATAATTATATAACTCCGTAATTAACGGTCCAATAATCATGTGTCATGGCAATGAACCTTCCTATGAAGTTTGAAGTTAATCCGTTCAAAACTACTAGAGATAATTCGCGCGCGCTCACGTGATAACATAATACGTCCTTTCATTCGAAGAGAGTATTAAAAGTTTCGAGAGGTATACTGGTCAGACTTGATATGTCTTTATGAATGAACTCGTGTGAAACAAATGTCTGGATAAACTCACTCACCGTGAAACAAGATAAGACAAAATCACGGAAATGTTTGTACAAGATTCACTCAGCAGGCCAAACAATTATTACGAGAGGGATTTACTCACCAGACTAGACATTTGTTTCTTTGGGGGATCAAACAGCGTTGACGTGGACCTCTTGAAGTCCTCTGAAAGACAGAAATATTTTAATGTCAAAAGTGACCGTTCTGGCAATTGTTAATAATTCGCATAATTTTGTTTTGTGTTACGATATAAATATAAACTTGATTTTTATCCAAATTAATCAGTCTTGATGGCCCGGATGTTAACGCCGGAGAGTCTTATGGAGGAAATTAGAGTACCCGAAGAAAACCCCCGTCGTCGAGCAGGTGACCTAATACTTTTTCACGTCCGAACGGGGAATCGAACCTCGGCCGCCATGGTGAAAGGCGAGTGCGTTTTCGTGTTGCAAGGCATATAACCAGATATGAACATCAGTGTTCATTCTAAATTAACTCTTTGGATTGTCGATCAATATTTCTCGGGAACCAAACCGTTCAATTTCATTTCATATTTTTTATTCTATTTATTAAACATTTATGTGAAATGTAATAACGAGCTAATTTTAGCGACTATGGGAACAGGCGCTTCGGTCTCACAATACCAAAGGATGAATAGGAGATCCCAATACTCATGTCTTATTCTGCACCTGACTTTTTGTAAAACTTATGTTATAAATACATTTGAATGCGAAGTCAAAAGTCGGGGTAGTGCGTTCGATTACACCAACACTGCAAGTAAATTTATTCATGTCTAAAATTCGTTATCATGCCCGTTTTATAGTTTGCACCTGACGTCTTTCAAAGTTGATTTTATACGAGATTAACATTTGAATCCAAGGTCAAAGGTCGCGGTGTTGCGTTCGATTACGACCGACAACAATTACAAGTTAATTTATTCATGTTTAATTTTATTCGTAATTTGAATATCGATGCGTTCTATTAAATCACTGCAGGGGACCATTTTGGAACCTTCACTTGTCATTTCATGTTTTGAAGGTAGCAGATCATTCAAGTATCTGAATTTGAACTACATTATCATAAACGTTATTTACATTATGTTAGTCGTGACGGGGAAAACCTTTTAGACTATTCAATGAATAGCTTATACACACATTGCTATGGGGCGATATCGCACGTCCCCGTAAAGACCCACAGTAGACGGTTGTCAACCATCATAATGGACGGCTCAACTGCAAATATTGGTTTTTAAAAATCAATAATCGTGTGTATCAACATAGATAAGCTTTGCTTAATGATAGTTGTACAGTCAGACACAATACTGCACGTCTCGAGTTACTCCCGGTAGTGGTAAAAAGTCTAGGTTCGGACAACATACTGTATGTCACGTGTTATAGTGGTAAATAGCCTAGGTTCGGACAAAATACTGTAGGTCACGTGTTGTAGCGGTAAATAGTCGAGGTTCGGTCAAAATACTGTAGATCACGTGTTATAGTGGTAAATAGTCTAGCTTCGGACAAAATACTGTAGGTCACGTGTTATAGTGGTAAATAGTCAAGGTTCGGACAAAATACTGTAGGTCACGTGTTATAGTGGTAAATAGTATAGGTTCGGGAAAGATACTGTAGGTCATGTGTAATAGTGGTAAACAGTCTAGGTTGGGACAGACTAATATAGGTCACGTGTATAGTGGTAAATAGTCTAGGTTCGGACATAATACTGTCGGTCACGTGTTTTAGTAGTAAATAGTCTAGGTTCGGGCAAGATACTGTAGGTCACGTGTTATAGTGGTAAATAGTCTAGGTTTGGGCAAGATACTGTAGGTCACGTGTTATAGTGGTAAATAGTCTAGGTTCGATCACAATACTGTTGGTCACGTGTTATAATGGTAAATAGTGTAGGTTCGGACAAAATAATGTAGGTCACGTGTTATAGTGGTAAATAGTCTAGGTTCGGTCACAATACTGTTGGTCACGTGTTATAGTGGTAAATAGTCTAGGTTCGGACAAAATAATGTAGGTCACGTATTATAGTGGTAAAAAGTCTAGGGTCGGACACAATACTGTAGGTCACGTGGCAATCTAGGGTCAAATACAATAGTGGTCTTTATTTTAAGGATGGATGTTAGGAAATCGACGAAAGCTAGTGTCTGGGTTAGCATCAGATTAATAAGGGTTGGGTCAGCTTCGGGATTGTTGCCCTGTATTTCATGGGCTTATATTAGTGTCGAAATAATTATTATCGGTGGTAAATTCTATAGACGGAAGTTATAAGGTCGAGCCCATTGTCAACATCAATATAATGAATTTGTAATGATATGGCTTATTTTTAATTTTATTACCAAGCATTATATGAATAGGGACGCAATCGATTTTGTTGTTGTTTTTGTTTATTACTAGCGGTGGAATAAGTAATAACTTTTCTTAAAGACACGTACCAGTGTTTCTTGTAGCGTTATAACACCAAAAGGAGAACTCCGTATTCGGAATAATATACCTGGTTACACGCTTGGTTGGTTTTCTGTTAAACGTTGTATACCGATAATAGGCTTTCATTAACCCTAAGAATACCACATGTACATAAGTTCAACCTTACCATGTCTAGTTTTACGACCGTCCATTAATGGTTCGTGGTTCGAGGTTATTTGACAAAGATATAAAAGTTAGTGGATAAATTTAAATATGTATAATACGATACATTTAACACACTTTTGAACTTTTAAATACATTGAGAACCTACAAAACACGTATTTCTCTCTCAATTTACTACGATAATATACATTAACTAACACCATTATAAAGGCAACTTAAAGCCAATAGTTGGAGGCCGACAACCCATTTTTCGTACTCCGGATTAGAGATCGGATAGGTCCGACATATCAACGGTAACACGTTCTCGGGTACGTGTGGTCTCCTATTTAAGTCGGCGTCCGATTATAAGAGCCGGATAGTACACAATGATATTTTTGACATTTTCAATCGAATTCCGTGATATGATTCTGCACAATAACCTACAAATTGTAGTACAAATTGTAAAACAAAAAATAAAGACATGTAGTAAAAAAAGTATGGAATGATATAATAGTACATAAACACCTTTCGGAACTACCATGCTATTATCATAGGCCGCTCGAACGGTAAAAGTACGTGTCCAGAAATAGTGTATTGTACTCAAATTGAATTCAATCTTATTTCAAGCTGTCGGGGCATTTAACAGTGACAAAGGGGGTAAGTTATTGAAGGCCATTTTCATTTCGATCTATTTCGTCGAACGCAATGATCTCAAATGTCTATAACTAATTTGCTGCGTCTTATTTACTCTCAATGATAAAACAGATGCAAAAGTCATGACATGGTTTAAGAAATCCGTGATTCTTGCCTATAGTTTGGCAGCCAAAAACAGACTGCTTCCCCTCGAGAAAAAAACCCACTTTATTTTCCAAAATTCACGAAGGAGTAAGAAATATCTTCCCGATGTTGTAAAATTTTAACGGAAAAATAACCATACTGGAAGAAATGAGACAAACCTTTTAGACCTTATTAGGGGTATTTGATATTTTGGATTATGTTTTGTATATATTTTATACTGAACACTAACACGGCAAATAAGTAGGATTAAAATGCTTTGTTAAAGGTTTTGTATAACATTTATTCAAACGTCGATCAAGTTGCATTGTTCGGGTACAGGTAGGGCGACTTCTATCCCACCGGTGTTGTCAATACTGGGTAAGGTATGAATGCAAATGTACAACTGGATTAAAGGTGTATTAAATGTTACGTACATTGTATTTATATGTATAATGAGATATCTGATTCCGTACATTTGGTAAATCGTATCTAGCCTTATACTTTCTGCGTAAGTATATATATATACATGTACTCATGTATACAGACATTTAAATGCAATCTTTGCCTTAGGCCAAACAAGAAACATTGCATGTTTCTGGTAACCCTACCTGTCGTATTTTTTTGTGCCTACCCTTAACTTTTTCAGAAAATTTTCAAAGAAGCACTGAAAAAGTCAAGATAACTCTCCTCTTCAAACCATATACACATATTTGTTAAAATAAAATCTACCTACCTACTTTATTTTTTTTCAAAATGTTACAGGTTGTTTTTTTTTTTGTCTGGCCTTAGAGGCTCGGGGTAACGTTTCAATGAAATATATTCCTTCGAAGTTCGGAGCACTGAAATGTACGTGTATTAGATTTCTCTGTGGGTGTGTATCGGTTAGTGTGTGACATTAGCGGTGTAATAAATGTATGGGGTCAATATTGACAATTATTTACTGGGTGTTTATGATCAATGCACTTGATATCTGAAAAATGTGTATGACTCTTTTACTAAAAACACATACATATATACACAGTCTGCTTTTGAGCTCATATGATTGGTATAGTGGAAAAGTGAACGTTTCCATTTAAAAAATACTGACCTAAAATCATACATATTATGGGTACTGGGTATTTAGTCTGTAGTTTCAATTTTGGGAAATCGATATGATCAATATATGTGAGCAGGCAAAAACAGTCTATTACAATGAAAATCCGGGACTGTTCTTAAATTAAAACATTCCTTGTTTAACTGAAAATATAAGCATGCGTTAATATTCATATGTCTGAAATGTCAGTGTATGGTTAATACTGAAAAGTAGTTGGTGGCTGAAAATGTGAGTTGGCGAGCATGGCCATTAGGCTGAAAAATTTGACTGTTAGACTGAAAATGTGACTGACAGGAGAAAAATGACAGTCTGAATGAAAAATGTAATGTTCGTCAGATTGATATAAATTGCTTCACTGATATTGTGATCAGGTGTAGACTGAAAATTGGGACGGTTTGTTGGGTTGCTATACTGAAAAAATATTGGTTAGGCTGAAAATATGAATATAAACGAATTTTGTTCATAAAGTAAACTGGACCGAATAGATGAGATATCAAGCATCACTCAAGCTTACAGACGAATGATGTTGAAACAGCAGGTATGGTTGTGTACTAACTTGAACTCTGACTTCAAGCGAGGCTGCCAACGGAACCATCGAGTCGTTCATTATCAGTAATAGAGTTCACTAATTATGCATTGAAACACGAATAAATTAACTAGTTTCCGACTTCATTTTACACCCAGCACACAAACATAAAAGGTAATACACGTACATTGTCTGCAAATGGAAAATAAATTGTGTTCAAGATTAGCGCGGGGTATGTGTATTGAGCGAATCCGCCACGGTACGGCGTGTGTTTCACCTGTCAGCCACTGTACCAATCGATGGGCCGATCTGGCGCTTAAGTCTTTGTACTAAATAATTGAACAATGGGGTTAGGAATTGGGTCTATAATATAACTACCTACCATGTATTGAATAGGTATATTGTACTGCAAAGGTCTGGCAATCAGCTTTATCTCTTTTACAAGTGTTACTAGGTCTCGGTTCAAAAGTTTTCATAAATTGTGTGTTATAGACAAACAAAGCAAAAAACGTCTTATCTGAATGGGAATGGATTTGAGAAAGAATTTTGGATTTTTTTATTATCCTGTCGCACATAAAATACGGTGAAATTACATTATCCCAGCGGGACAAATTTTAATTTTCAGAAATAAAATTGATCGAAACAGTCATGTTTATTAATACCGTACATTTGTCTCTGTCAAAAGGGATGCATACGTACCTGTATAGGGGGATTATTGAATATATATACTTACACAGGATTACAACGGATTTACACTGACGACCAACCGATCGCTGTGTACGTACATATACAAAATATAATATACTAAATGGTTAAACACATGAATTTGTATCGCGTTAAAACAGATACAAAAGAAAATATTTCGTTCGACCACGGGCTTAGAATTCCGTGTTTCGACTATCAACTTTATAAAATGTGAATGCAATTTTTTGTTTAAGGGTTGGTAGGTTTAGAGTAAGTGACCTCACCTGGACCACAGGCTGTGGTTGTCCGGCAATGCTCGTCCGGGAGCTTGTGTCCGGCAGTATCCATATCCATTCTCCGGAAACTGGGAAGTTTGGGATGGAAAAGGCCATCCTTGACGGCGGCCAACTGCACCTTCCGATGTGAGGGATATTGGTACGAGTAACTGGGAATCCTCATGGGCTGTGACCGATTGTTACACCCGGGGTCCACACCTACGGTCGTCATCTTCCTAAATGGAAAGTAACACGATAACTTTCTAAAGTCCTCAAATTAAATCAAGTGATAATATTCGGGTTTGTGTATTCCACGGGTGTCTTAAACGTGTCAGCGACTTGTGAAGATCCGATGCCCCCTATAGTATCAATAAATTCCGTCTGTTGTGTATAACACCTACTACAATATCTTACCCTGATTGTTCTTTGAGTTAACGGTTCGATAAAGTACACCACCGCTAATGTTTGCCGCCAACTGTCCGTCCTAGACACCGACAACGTCACCCTTAGCAACCAGCAACAATGGGTCGTTACGTCACAGTTGAACGGTAAACCCCGAGGAGTAGCGATAATCTGCACGTGGTGCTTCCTACCGATTTTGTTTGATCAAATTGCAGGTTTTCTAAGTGCTAACTGACACGTAAAATTGAATACGGAGATAATTGGCGATAGACTTATTCACATGTTTAGATAGGTGTCCGAGTCTTGTATATATATTTCAATTAGATAATCGACGGGGTGTATTGGTCTGAGCAGTGGGGCGGCATGTATACTCACAAAAGGCTTCGGGCCGTTAAGAAGGACGGTTATTCATACCCTACTCGTAAAACTGTTATCAACGACACCTTACAAAATTTCAAGTTACCTTTATAAAAACGACAATCAATCACCCGCTGTGGCATAGTGTACTTGGCCTCTCTCTAAACAAAGGGGACACCACAGGGACCTGAGATTTTGTTACAGCTATATTTAGAGTAATTTTATTTGTTTTAGGGGTTTAGATCGATTTTCGGCAAAAATGACACCCCCAATGATCAAAGATATGATCATTGGGAGTGTAAAGTCGATCTAAATCCCTAAAACATGTAAAAATTACTCTGAACATCTTAATTTAGGTCCAAATATAGATGTAACAAATAAGCAGGTCCCTGTGGGGGACACCGCTAAGTATGCGGGCCCAGAACACCAGTTAGACGAGTTGGAACGTCCGAGGTCGGTCCCGGGACACTAACACGGGAACTTCCAATTATCGGAAATGTCCGACATTGGAAAAACTATCTAAATATATGTTGGGATTTCTGAATCACAGATTGGGATCATACTGTCGAAGTTCCAGATCGTCTATTGAGTTATCAGCACATCACAAAAATGAGAATTTAATGATGAATCTTTTAAAATTTAATCAGGCCTAGTATGTGGTGAATATTGAAAAAAATACCATGTGGAAGACATTGTTTTTGTGAAGACGCTTCAATTTTTTTTTCGAGCGTATTCAACACGGAAGAGAATGACGAGTGTTACGAGATGTATCAATATCTATATCGGACTATCATTTAGTAACATACCTAAGTATTAAACCTCTTTATATTCCGTTATCATAAGACTCTATCATTCCACCGAAGGGGTTTTTCAAATTGGCTGAAACCCTAGTTTTCCAATCCTTCATCCATTGGTATAAAAGAGTATTTTTCTCCCATTCCAATCACCAGAATGAATTCAGAACCACAAAAAAAGGCATCGCAGTTTTTGTATCGCAACATCGGAATGTTGCCGATTTCATGACGTCACGTTACTGTTATCCATTGTGACGTCACGCAGAAGAGTAAGTTAAAAATGTTTACATTTCTTTCTTGTCTCTTGTCCAATTTTTTTCAAATATGCATATGAATGAGAAAGAATTGTATAATGCTGAACATGATTTCAGACAAATCGGATAACAAGCGTTATAAATATATGTCTGCATTTTTTGCAGAATTATGTGACTTTAACTAAAAATGTGCGTTTTGATAGTCAATTTTGTATTTTATATTAATTTTGAAAAAAAATCGGTATTTTAAATTTAAAATTTCTTTTAAAATTGTAGTTTTTTTCTTCTTCAGTAAATGGAACCACCAACAGCCAGTAATGCCACTGAGTAACATACCGAGCACATAGAAAGCGCATCCCAGAGTTATATGGCATCCCTGGAAAAGCTAGTTTGCCAGTAAGGCAGTACTTTTGCCCCCGTATTCCGTAGCTGTTACAATATTGCAGTGGGAAAAGCAGATTGATTTTAATCCCATCAAGATCTTCTAAGTAGACACACAGGACACAAAATTGAAAATGTAATCCGATTTCTGCAGGGGTCCCCGTTAGTCGCCTCATACGATCAATACAGTATGATAACTGCGTAACCTTATCATTCTTATTCGTTCAAAATTAATATCCAGGGAATTATACGTATATAATGGTATCAATATTCGCCATGTTGATCGTATTTTTCAAATCCAACTTTCGCCTCAAGAAGCTCACGTGCGGTTGATCACGTGAAGGAGTGGATAACGTACTCGTCTTCCATTAAGGCGGCCGGGGTTCTGGGTCAACCAAAGTTATTAATTTTATTTGAAATAATTTGTTACATAATTGTTGTATAAAAAAACTAAAACTTAAGAAGCTCATTTGTTCCTTACTGCGTTCTTATGACGTCATTGCTGATAACACATTCACATTATCTAAACTACTTAGGGTTTACACTTTATTCTACAACAATTATGAAACAAGTTATCAAACTCATATTTATCACTCTTGTTAGCCCGGGTGTAAGCTCGCAGGGGGAAATTCATAGGGGAGGAGACATGATAGCCGGGGAAAATCCTCGTGATCCGACAGTTGAATCGTTTATCTTTTCACGTCCGATCGGGAATTCGATCCTCGGCCGTCTTGGTGAAAGGCGAGCGCGCTATCCACTGCGCCACCCGACCACACCCACCGGGGGTTACTTGTGTTGTAGGATCATGTTGTTTAAAGACGTGTTGTACTAACGTATACGTTTTTTCCTGCTGTATTAAAATATTCAAACATGTGTGTCTCTTTTCTTGGCTAGATTCGTCCGATGCATTTAAGATGTACTTGATCAAGCAACAAAAATCTTAGCAAATCGGGAATTGTCGACACTTTCTGTACACGACAAAATAATTCATTAAATAATTTCCTCTGTACGTAAAGTATGGGGAAAGATATATCTGATGGATAGCCTATGTACTCACGAGTTACCTCCCTTACGTTACCTTGCACAGTCTGGTTTCAGCATAATTTTGTTTGCCACTTACATGTATTTTGGCTTGTCCGTCTGTTCATCATAACGAAACTATATTTTATGCACTTTCCTTTGATGGATGGTCAATGAAAATACATTTTGATAGGATTTAATAGGAGAAAAGAGATGGACGCAGGCAAATATCTGCCTAACACAATACATACATATAATTAATTAGCATTCAATTTTAACATACATTTAAAAACTTCTAAGTTTGCCAAGTGATCATATTTCATATCTACATTTTTCCAGTGTTCATCTAAATTGACCTCGTCAGTCGAATTCTTTAATTGTAGTTGAGTCTATAACTCTCTGTGGGAAACTGTTCCATATATATTTACTGTCCAGAAGTTGAAACTGAATTTTCTGAGATCTAAATAACAATGGTTTGACCGTGAGTTCTTGATATATTATCGTGTACTAAGAGTTCGTTGCTGACTCTCTCATCAAATATATTGTCAATAATCTTAAATACATGAATAAGGTCTCCTCGCATCCTTCGGTATTTTATAGTTGGTAGTTTTAGTATTCTGAGCTTACTTTAAGGTAAATCCTTAAATCCTGGCAGTAATTTTTTCTGGCTCTTCTTTGTACCGATTCCACAAGCTCAATTTCCTTTATTTTGTGTTGATTCAAAACACACACCGCGTATTCAATGGGTGGTCTAACTAGGACTTTAAATAGTTGGCAGAACATAGTTTCATTTAAATAAATAGAATACCTTAATTATGAGTCCAACGATTCCATTACCCTTGTGTGCCTGTTGTTGTATATGATATGCAAAGTTCAGATTTCGGTCCACAGTTACTACCAAGTCTTTTTCTGACGATATACTTTCTAATTTCTCACGCTCATTTCCTGGTCCTGTCCACAGGGACCTGAGAATTTGGTACATCTATATTTGGACCTAAACTATAAAGGTCGACTTTCGGTAAAAATGACACCCCAATGATCATAAATACGAGAATATATGATCAGTGGGTGTGTCATTTTTACCGAAAGTCGATCTAAATCCCTAAAACATGTAAAATTACTCTGAACACCTTAGTTTAGGTCCAAATATAGCTGTAACAAATTCTCAGGTCCCTGTGGTCCTGTCATGAAATAGAGTCTTTGTTATGTTCCTTTTATTGAGAGAAGTTTGCACTTGTGTTGGTGGAGCTGAAGTAGCCATATACCGGACCATTTCTGAAGAGCATTTAAATCATTTTGTAGAAAAGCTTGGTCCTCCTCAGTCTTCATTTCTCTATACACTTTAGTAGTATCATCAGCGAGTAATACTGATAAGATAAAGTGGTTTCAGATAAGTCAGTTATATTTATGAAAAACAGTACCGGTCCAAGGACACCGCCTTGTGGTATTCCGCTCAAAACTGGATACACCTTTTCCATCATTTGAAGCAGTTTGAAATTAACCATTCTGTTTCAGTACAGTGTTAAATGCGCTTCAATATGATTCTTCAAATTGCTATTAAATTTTTTTAAACGTTTGATTCCCTTCTCCTGCAGATTCAGCTTAAACTCACAAATACCCAACCCCCCGCCCTCGCCATCTTTTCTCTTTTCCATCTCTTAAACGAAATTTTTATATCACAGGGTTTTGAGATGTGAATATTTTTAATGAAAGGACCGTTTTAAGAGACTGAAAATTTCAATGTTCGTTCCTTTTGATCACGTGACATTTAATGTTAAACATATTTAATTCAGACGAAGAAAACCCACGTGGTCGGGCAGGTGAATGTGTAACACAGTTATATTTTCCCGTCGGTTGAAAGTGCCAACAGTTCCTTATTGCTTAATCATAACAAAGTCATAAACTTAGTTCAGAATTATAATTGGTTAAAACTTGATTATTTGGACATAAAAATAATAAAAAAAACTTCACTCATTACAATTGAATACAATGCAAAGGGGAGTAACTCGAAGCGAAACAAAATTCTACCAAATACAAGGAATAACATTACAAATTTGAGAAATAAAAACATCTATGAAGTAACGTTATAACTGGGTTTTCTATTTCTATTTATTCTTTTCTTGTAAATAAAAGATAAAAACAACCTGAAGTTGTTAGTGGAACTCTTCTTTGTTATCACCAAATGCAATGGTACTTCCTACCTTAACACTTTCACCACTGTAGACCCTAATGGACTCATCCAAATCAATACATGGTAGAGTCTACTAAAGTACATATGGTTGAAAGGGTTAAATTGTAACATGTTCTATATGTAACAGTCAGTTGACCACGGTCAATGTTAAAGTAAGGGGTACCAACAGGTTAATCTATATTATTATCATTGTCACTATTGTGAAATATTTGCCTAACTCATTCACCCCTGAAATTTCATTATGAACTATTCCATCCTTTGAATTGGAAGAGTTCAAATGTTTCTTCAGGCGTGAATGAGTTAATTCCTTTTCCAAATAAGCTTTCAATAAAAAATCTCATGTTGCGATGCATTTTACAGAATTATGGTTGCCCAAAATTTGAATGAATAAAAGAAAAAGAAAAATTGAAACACTGCACTGGTCAAACTCTCAGTCCTTTACATCGCAAAGCCTACACTCTGCCAACATTGCCAAGCAGGAATTATAATTGCAAAGCATCGATATGACTGTCCAATTTATGGACAACAAAGCCTATGAATAACTTGTCAGGGGAACTAACTCTAAGACAGGAAAATTCTTTTTGGTTTTCCATCTTTTATGTAGAAGGGAGATAACTCAGAGTCAAAAAACTTGAGTGGAACTCTTCTTTGCAACTTTAACTGATGCAGTGGTACCCTTTACCTTAAATATATATATTATAATCAAATGGCTATGGTGCAAACATTTATTGGAAAAGCTGATCCCTTTGAGACTCGAACTCATGAGGTAGTAAAATGTTCTTTACAACATTTGTGAGTATTAGTACTTAAAAAACAATATTTATACATGTTAACAAAATTACATTAAAAAAGGTATCTGGCATATTTCATAATAACAATAAAAGTACTTAAAAGATAATTAGAATGCTATAAAAATGTAAAAAATACAATTACGTTCATTTCTAATGGAAAATAATAATTAACGACATGATCACAGAATATTATAACACAAAATGGCATTAGAAAATAGCATTACTTACGATTCAGTAACAATAATACATGTATTACAAAAATTTTGTAAAAATAAAAAATATACTTTAATTCATAATGAACAAACTACAATTGTCATTTATGGTCAATATAAATTATGACAACTGTAAAGAAAAAATTCCAGAAAGCAGGTTACAAGTTGACATTTTTCAAATTTCAGTTTTAATTTATATTGGCTATGAATATCAACTGAAAGCAGTCAAATGTTTAAAATTATTATTTCAAAATATCTCATGGAAAATACAGTTTGGTTATTATATCTTCATACAGTACATCCAACTTATTATCACATTGTTAAATGTTATTTCTCTCAATATCACAATTTTCTGGAGCATTTTATTTTGGCGTTAAATTCTGTTAATGTCAATTGCCTTAAGGCACCTTCTGGTTTATAACTTTATAACACAATAATTAAACATAAGGGAGGAATGAAGAAAAATTCATCATTTTTTTCTTCTTCAAATTTCAATAAAAGAATTCAACAACAACTTCTAGGTATGTTCAGCAGTACGGGTTTTCTGTAGACCATTAAATGAAAGTATCTTTTTGACTCCCAAAAATTAGCTCTGACTCCTGGATTCAAGAGGTCATATCTATTTGACATGTGTTTTGAATCTTCATATTTTACTCATTCACCCCTGAAATTTCATCATGAACTATTCCAACCTCTGAATTGGGAGAATTCAAATGTGTCTTCAGGGGTTAAGGGGAAAATCTTTTTGACTACTGAAATAGCTTCATGTTAATTAAAGGTCAATTGAAAACCCTTGGTCTACATTCAACCTATCACCAACAAACAGATTTAATGGAATGTTATATTGCACATGATTGCCAATATAATTTGGTTGGAGAACAAACTGGAGAAATTGTGAGCGAGCTAACAAAAATATACCCCTGAGTTTACCTTTTCTAGGTATTAATGATAATCAATAATAAAAATTTGAGGTTCTTATATACCGCTTTATCACAACCTAGTTCGTAGGTCGTCTCAAAGCGGTTTACAAATTATTATCCGTGGTTATAGGGCCTTTGCAACCAGCCAATATCTTTCTCAACTCCCTGGGGAGCATACAGCCAGTGCTGCCATTTCGGCACTCACAGCTAGCATTCAATAATTCTAGCACTGCCCAACCACGTACTCATTTACAGCTGAGTAGAATGGAACAAGCGGCGTAAACTATCTTGTTCAAAGATACAACACAGTGCCGTGACGTGACTCGAACCCGCAACACTTCCGTCACGAGACCGGCATCCTACCACTAGACTACCGTATTCCTTGATGCCTCCTTTCTTCATGCACATCTACCTAAATTGTACTTTCACTATGTCAGGTTACAAAAATATTCAACAAATCCTTAAGGAGAAGTTGCACTGAAGTTTCAAGGGCCACAACTATAGGAAAAATAGTCAAATTACAAATTCCTTTCTAAACCGTAGTCAAAATTCTAATCATCCCCCCTCCTTCTTCTCCCTAGCCACTATATTTTAACTCATTCACCCCCGAAAACACATTTCAACTCGTCCAATTCAAAGGTTGGAATAGTTCATTATGAAATTTCAGGGGTGAATGAGTTAATGTTCTTTCCCCCAGCACATACAATGTTGTTGTTCCTACCCTGAGTGACTATAGCAAATACTTAACACTTTAGCATGTGTCTTCTCAGCCCCCTAAAATACCCATTCCATCTAAATCTCTATAACACCTATCATCTCTCCTTCAAAAACAACTTTCCTCATAGCACCATAAACTTCCCTCCTCTCATTCCTCCTAAATTTCTGTAGAACCTAAAATCCCAGTTCTTCAAACATCCTTTCCTCATAGCACCATAATAATCCCTCCCTGCCCACAAAATACCAAACCCTCCTAAATATCTGTAGCATCCATCAACTCTTCTTCCTTAGAACCGAAATGACCCCCCCCCCCCCCCCCCCCCCCCCCCCCCCCCCTTAGCCCTTTCGCTTTTAACTGTCATTAACATCCCCTTCTTTTGACTTTATCAAATAAAATGACCCCTATCCAGCCCCTTCAACAGAAATCTTCTAGTTCTTCCATACCATGCTACCTCTAAACCACATCTCCTATAATGCACAACATCTGTCAAGTCAATACTTTTCTCCCCTACCAAATTGGAAAGCACCATACTAAATTGCACCAGTTACAGTACATGTATCCCCCTACCACTTCCAAACCCCCCAGCCCCCTTCCACGGGCCTGTTATCTCTGTTTGTCTTTTCTTTATACTTTTCCTCATCAAGCCCTGCATAAATGTCCCATTTCTTTGTCCCCATGATATCCCCTTTACAAGCCCCTATGCTGCACCATCTCCCCAAGCCCCTGTTAAAACCCTTTTATTACCCTCCATATCGCCCCACTTTCCTAGCTTTCATATTTCAACACCTTTCCCTGTACTAATAATGCCTCTATAGTTCACAACCTTCGACCTCTGGCCTTTAAATTTTCCCCTTTTCAATCCTATAATTCCACCTTTCCTTATACATGTAATCATCTTTCTAACTCCCTACTATAAGGGTCTTCCTTGACCCCTAAGGTGCCGCCTCCTTGCCAGCCTCCTCCTCGCCAGCCTCCTTCTCTTGGCTGTTGGTGAGACTTGGCAGAGGACCAAGCTTAATCATCAAGGATAACACAGTATCAAATACCTTTTTCCTAAGCTCTGCAACTTCCTGGTAGATCTCTGCAAAATTAATTAATACACTTAATATATTATTTTATTAATACATGTATATTAATGATTGAAAAATATCATTACATTATAATATTATTATAGGTGAAAAATATCCTACTGTTTGACCCTTTCACCACTGTAGACCAAAATGGACTCATCCAGAGTAAAGCATGGCAGAGTCTACTAAAGTTACATAGGGGTGAAAGGCCTAACAGAATAACTTGGATAAGACACTTCTTGAGTTACTATTCTTTTATTTATTCATTTATTCATATAAAAACACATTTGAACTCTTCCAATTCTAAGGTTGGAATAATTCATTAGGAAATTTCAGGGGTGAATGAGTTAAATACAATTCAAACATCAATAAAAGTGAGAGAGAGAAATCACGAGTTATCTCCCCTTACAATGTGCTGGATTTCCATTTAAAGATCCCCGTACCACTGCCAAAAATGTGATAAAACCATTTTTTTTTAAGAAATGATTTATCAAAGCCGAAGTCGTGCCGTCAAAATCTGTTTCCAGTACATAGTTACAATTTTTGGCTGTGGTATCCCACGTCATACCCCGTACTAGATTTTTCTATCTCATCTGATCTGTCTGGTACCTTTACGTGACATTTTGCGGAAGTTTTACTCTGCGATGTATTCATCCGAGCGTAAATGGCTTGAAATTGACAATCTGCATTAATTCATACATATTCTGTTTTGTTGTTATTTTTGCTGTTTTGTTGTTGTTGTTATGGTGTAGATAAAAATAGGCTACACTGTGAAATATGTTGTCTTCCTTGAAAGGTCGGACTACATTTTTAGGCGGGAGCATTCAAATGAAGCTTTAGAAGTGTAGAGGCCATATTTATTTGAGGCCCCAGACCTGATACTTGTAGTCTTTAGCAAAATTTAATACTGTATTAAATGTTCGTCCTGTATAAACATTCATGGTTTTTCGTGGTTGCTATTGAACCACAAAAATAACTACAACAAATTTGAATGATATATGTGTATACACAGGTAATAGACACAACATATCCTATGCCAATATTCTAATATGTAATTACATATTAGAATATAGGCATAGGATACGTTGTGTCTATTACCTGTGTGTGTATACTGTTTGTTAATATAGGATGTCCACGAAATTCTGTACCACAAAACGATCTAAATAGCTTCAAACCACGAAGGAAAGTACCCACGAACATTTCGTGTTTATACAGTATATAATGTTCGCAAACGAAATGGTGAGAGAGAGAAATCAATTACTTGACACCTCGGTTGGGATGAAGTTACAGAATCTTAGCCCTCGCCTGAGATATCTCGATCTCATTCATTTACAGGTAATCTATTATATTATTCTCCAACCCTTCACAGGTGTGTCTCCTGTTTTAGCCGGGAAAGATCAGCTTGTCACCCCCTAGTGGGAGATAGCCTCGTGCCGATTAGCACATGTTCAATTGTGACATATGTACATCATTTTTTTTTTGCTTTGATGATGATGATGATGATGATGATGCTTTATCACACTGAAGAAATAATGCTGTATCTAACCATGAAATAATGCTGAATCTATCTATAAAATAATTTTGAATCTGTCCATGCGTAATCTACTCTCTCTGTCATGTTTTATTTGATTAATGTTATTTTGTTTGACCTCTTGTTACACACTTTGTGTGTCAGAGCGTAATAAGAAAACCTTGAATTTTGAATTTTTCACCGGTAGTTGTGACGTCATCAAGACTGAATGTGTTTTTATTACACTACTGTCGTTGGAGTTGTGACTGAAAAAATAGGATGGGAGAGAAATAATCATCCCCTACCTTAAGGGTGTAATAAAGAAATCACCAACCCTCGGGATGATTTTTTTGGTTGTCTACATCACCAAAAACAAAGAGCAAGGACGTGAGAAAAAAGATGCAAAATGTTCCAGTTGCGCCTATTTATAGGAACCAGTCGATCCCCTAAGGGAATGTGACGATTCACCAGAAAGAACAGGTTCGATGGGAACGCAAGTTTTTAGGGTACCAAATTTGATCCAATATGGCCGCAATTGAAAAGCCTTAATTTCAGATGTTCACCTTCTACGTATACCAAGTTAAACTGTATTTAATTCGTTTAAATTATTTTTAATAACTCAAAGGAAAGTCAGAGATTGTAAAAAACTTAAGGCAGTAATCCGCGTTACATTGTTTTACAATTTTTTAATGGTTTATTCCAGAAAAAAAATAATCTTTTCCTATTTAAATTTGTATGTGTAGAAACGTAATTTGGAATACATGCTGTTGAAAGGTTGCAAGTTAACCCTTTCACCCCTATGTAACTTTGGTAGACTCTACCATACATTGACCTAGATGAGTCCATTATGATCTACAGTGGTGAAAGGGTTAACACAACTGGAATATTACGCTTACCGGTAATGGGATGCACTAATTTATAAGTCGACTGTTGAAAGATTTTTATGGTTTTAATTCACAGAATGTCTTACCTGGATCTACACTGGACTTGTACTGTTTCACGACGTCCATGGTTGGCCAAGAGTGTATTATGACAGACTGATCAATATTCATGTCCCAATGGCCACGCAGGCAGCTGTTTACCTTCGTATTTGCAACGGATGCCACGCCAAGCCTCACACTAAATATATACCCAGTACAGAAATCAGAGGTAGAAATAATAATGATAATAATAATTCGAGGTTCTTATATACCGCTTTAATTCGGCGCTCACAGCCAGCATTCAACAAGTCTAGCACTGCCCAACCACGTACCCACTTACAGCTGTGTAGGCTGGAACAAGCGGAGTAGAGTATCTTGCTCAAAGATACAACACAGTGCCGTGCCGTGACTCGAACCCGCAACCCTTCGGTCACGAGCCCGGCGTCCTACCACTAAACTACCGTGCCTCCAAAGAAAGTGAGTGCCAAAATAATTGTAGGATTTTAATGAAATCCTCAATTATCTCAATGAAATAATTTCTGCTAACAGGCAGAAAGGAGACAATCTATGTTCAGTATAATATAAGGGCACGTCAACAATTTCCAATGTGACAAAACTAATAAACATTATTTTTCATTTAAAAATCAACAGAGCTTAATTATACATTAATTTGGGGATACATTATTTATTAAAAGTTAAAGATGGGTTTTTTTCAACAGAACAAGATATTTATTTTCATTGTGTACTTACGGCAATAAAATGTTCAAACAATCTATAATCTTAATCCTGTACGTTTTTCATAATTCATCAACAAATGTATTTCTCTGAACATCTCGGGTTCTATATTCATCTCGAAACGTATTTGACCTTGAGAAAAACTTGGACGAATTCTGAAAAGATCTTGAGCTGAAGTATGATCATACAGCTCCTTATATATATAGGCTTATTTTATGTTTACCACAATGAATTTCAAATTATATTGATGTGGATATAGAGGCAGCAATGCCTGCGCATCCACTAATACCCTATTGACTATTCAGTTTCATACAGATCAGCTCACAAAAATGATAGTTATCCTTACATGACAACTCTCCCTATTTTGGAGAGAGACTATCGAGTGTGGACCATACAATTGAGCGTTTTCAACCAGTGAATTTGCAAATGTGTTACTATTTCCTGAGATCTGATGATTTCATCTGAAAGAACAGCTCAAAAGTTGCCATTGAAAAGTGTTATTTTTTCCTAGGGTGTATATATACACACTTTTTGTTTATGCTTTTGATTCTGTGTGCACGTAATCTCCCCGATGGAAAGTATGGTTACCTTGTTGTATTCAATTTCATACAGAAAGCACACACAAATATTTGGTTATCTTGTAGTATTGAATTTCATACAGAGAGCACACACAAATATTTGGTTATCTTTTAGTATTGAATTTCATACAGAAAGCACACACAAATATTTGATTATCTTTTAGTATTGAATTTCATACAGAGAGCACACACACATATTTGGTTATCTTGTAGTATTGAATTTCATACAGAAAGTACACACAAATATTTGATTATCTTTTAGTATTGAATTTCATACAGAGAAAATGAATTACCTTGACGGTTTCATGTACTCCGTCATTAAATAACGGTACCGTGCCAGATCCTCATTCTCGCCAGTGTCTTCCACCGCGGGGACACGGTTGGATAAAGTGAGAACTTGGTGATCTAAATAGAACACATAGAATACATGTAAACAATGTATTATGATCTGAAAAAATACCCTTAGTAACAGTGACCTAATATTTATATTATCTTTGACCTTGACCCTTGACACACCTCACTCAAACCCAATTTTTTCTTCCTTCCTTGGGCAACCGACATATACAAAGGCGGTCATTTGGTCAAAAGTTAGGATTCAGACATGAATATACCATTTTGAACAACAGTGAGTTTGACCTTTGAAAAACTTTGTCCAAAATCAATAGAGTCCTTCCTCTTCCCTAGGGGTACCCCACATACCAAACAAGAGATCCCAGAGGGATCTTGGCACCCACCGTTGTACTATATATATATTCGTGGGTACTGTTTGAGATTGATTTTTCCTCGGCTCTTTTTTAATACTTTTATCTATTGGATTTAGTCATGTTAAAAGTAAATGCACCCTGTGGTAACTTTTGATCAAAGCTTCATACTAGAAATAGCACTAACAAACTTCAACTCTCAAAATTCAAAACGGCCATCTTGGTTTTTTTGATCTGTTTAAAATTTGATATGCGTAATTAGAACCTAGAATGTTCTGCTTAAAGGACATTGAACTAACCAATACTGAAATTTATCAGAAAAATATGCAGTTAGATAAAAGTAGTACATGTACCTGTACTGGCGTAGGAATATGTTCCCACGGTTTCGACCAATCGCAACACCTTTAGGTTTTATTACATATGTGTAATAATGTAATAATGTGTTATAATCATTTATAACATGGCCATATGACATAGTTAAATGAGTCAGTTATGTGATAACTGGATGTTCTGGATTTCTTTACCTTCTTGAAAAGGTTCCGATGCCTCAACTAGCAAGATGTCGCATCCTCCCAGCCATTTCTCCATACAAACTTCGGGAGTACACTTGAACCAGTCCTTTGCCATATCTGCACTTTCGAATGTGAGGACAGCCAGACGGCTTGTTTTAGCCCATTTACCACTAAACGCTGAATGAACCTAAAATGGTTTGCAGAAATTGATAACACCAGTTTCCAAGTTCTCACTTAGCTGATGTTTCTGTCTACAAACATAAGGATGAAAATATGACGTTTTGGAATGCCTAGTTACAAATTGCTGTACATTTTAAACTCACCTGGTGCTGTAAAGCTGAGAGAGTACCTTGAAACTTTTCCAATCCGGAACTGTATTTTTTCAAGGTATCGATGAACTCTTGTCGCCGAGTTGCTTGGAATTTGATGACCATGAACACCTTTCCAGTGGATGTGTCTTCAACTTCCTGAAACATGTATTCATACATAAACTGATCATTCACCCCTGCAATTTCATAATGAACTATTCCAACCTTTGATTTGGAAGAGTTCAAATGTGTTTTCAGGGGTGAATTAGTTAATTGATAATGTCTCAGTGTACAAAACAAATCATTTGTTGGGTTTTTTTCTGTAATTTGAATATCTTTGTGTAGCTGTACAGTTATTTTTTCCATGGTTTTCATACCAAATACAGAAGAAAAAAATCTATCAACGTTATTTTTTTTTCTCATAATACCTTTGTAAAAAAAAACTATGGCCCAGAAACTACATGTATATATACTGTGAAATCACTGATTTTCATGGAGTCTTTAAGTTCATCCACGAAGTAGTATTTACAAGTTTGATGTAAAGCAATTCTCCGTTTCATGTGCCAACCAAATCGTATTTAGCCGAAAAGCCAAAAATTCGCAGCCCCACGAAAATATCTGATTTCACAGAAACGTACAATGCAGTGCTATGCTAAATGCATGGTAAATATTTTTTGCCCAAATTTACAGCATTTAGTTACATTTTTGTGTAATTACATTGTATTTTTTTTTAAATTATCATGGTATGAGAGTACACATTTGTTTCCATTTCTGAATGGAAATCTTTTTCAATCACTCTTAATTATCAAGGAATGCTGTACAATGGAAAAGTTTCCCCAATGAAATTTTCGTCTTTCACCAATGAAAGCCATATTCGCCCAGCGTTAATTTCGCCCTGCACAATTAATTGCTTTGTATATCATATTATTTTCGCTGGGGATTTAATTTTCATTTTAATCCATAATTCACGGTCACCAAAGACAACGTGAAATTAAAACCCAGCAAATATTGATAAAAAGACCTGTTTACACTTTTACTCCCAAATAATTGAGATAAAATACAAATTCAATATTGTATTTTACGTTGTTTTTTTTTTTTTTATAAAACACTTGTAAAATAAATCTCATCACCTGAAACACTCCTTAAGCGCCAGCAATTTAAATCAAAATTAGTTTTCGGAGAACTACTTTTGACCTGGACAACCGCAAAATATTCGCCCTTCAAAATTAAACAACTACACAGCATTAGCCGTCAGAAAAAAATCACCCTGGTTACAGAGGGTGCAGAAGGCGAAATTTAAATTGTGATGAAAATTTCCCGAGATATAGTACAAAGAAAGCTATCTTCTCTCAACCTGTTTCCTCTGCAAACTCACAATTTTACCCTCTCTTGCCCCCGTCCTTGACTATAAAATACTCACAATTTTCGCCTCTGCAGCCCCCTGACCAAAAAGCTCCTCATAACTAGGAAGAGACGCTGCAAGATCGCCCATGTTGATATCTTCATCATCACCTTCAAAACAATAAACTGGTGGAGCTGATGGCACTTTCCGACCTTGACCTTCAGCAAGGCTGTTTGATGGCTGTGCAACAGTTGCCGTAGACTTTGATGGACCAAAGGTAGGAATCGATGTTTGGCCTTGAGCTGGACTGCTTGATGTTTGTACGGCAGAGGCGGCAGATTTTGTTTGACCTGAGGTAGGAACTGATGTTTGGCCTTGAGCTGAACTGCTTGATGTTTGTACGGCAGAGGCGGTAGATTTTGTTTGACCTGAGGTAGGAACTGATGTTTGGACTCCAGTTGTGCTTTTTGATACTTGTGTGGCACTGACCGTAGATTTTGCTGTAACTGCGGTAGAGACTGATGTTTGGGATTTTGCCGTGGTAACTGCCTGACCTGATGACGACTCAGATGTGGATGGTGGCGATGTCGCAGACTTTGAACTTGCTGTTGATACTTGTGTAGCTTTGACCTTTCCAGTTGCAGAAGTCTTGGGGGTTCCTTGTTTGGGTGGGCTGGCCACCAAGGGCTTTGGTCTGTATGTGTAGTTAGGAACATAGACACACATTGGAGTATAACTAACATATTCTGGTATAGCATTGTTAGTAGACCGAATGAACTTCTCCCAACCTCTGTTACATCTGGTATAGGTCAGGGCATTAGAAAGGTCAGTCACTGAAATAGACAAGGTCAAATTAAAGGTCAACATCTACAATAGAAAGGTCAAAGAAAAGGTCAACCACTGCAATAGACAATGTCTAAGTAAAGGTCAACTACTATAATAGAGAGGTCAAAGAAAAGGTCAAGTACTGCAATAGAAAAGTCAGAGAAAAGGTTAACTGCTAAAAAAGAAATAGTAAATGTCAATAACTTCAATAAACCAGGTCAAGGTTAAGGTCAACAACTTTAATAGAAATTTTAAAAGTAAGGGTAAACTATTGCAATTAAACAAGGTCAAAGGAAAGGTCAACAAACCATAATAGAAAAAGGTCAAGATGAATGTCAACCACTGCAATAGACAATGTCAAAAAAGGTCAACTACTGCAATAGACAAGGTTAAATAAAGTAATAATATATAAATAATATATCACTTACCAGGGATGTTTGGGGCCGCTCCGGTAGCTCCCGTTGCTGGTATTGATTTCTTGTATCCCTGGGGGACAGTTCCAATTGTGATAGGTAACCAGAGTACAAGATCCCCGCCACTCAGGAGCGGAATATCAATATATACCTGAAAACATCAAAAAACATCTAAAACTGATGTTATTAGGTAGGACTTATAGCAATGTCAAAGATATAGATTTTGTTTGAGTCCAAAATAACTGACTATCTCTTATAAAATAAAGGGCACAGTAGTCTAGTGGTAGGACGCTGGGCTGTTGACCGAAGGGTCGCAGGTTTTTGATCCTATGATAGTGCTGTGTTATATCCTTAAACAACAAGATATTTTACTCCGCTTGTTCCAGTCTACTCAGCTGTAGATGAGTATACGGTTGAGCAGTGCTGGAACTGTTGAATGCTAGCCGTGAGCGCCGAAATGGCAGCACTGGCTGTATGCTCCCCAGGGAGTTGAGAAAGATATTGGCTGGTTGCAAAGCCCTACAACCACGGATAATATTTTGTGATCCACTTTGACACCATCTAGGTTGTGTCAAAGCAGTTAGATATTATTATTAATAATTATTATTATGAATATTGTTGATGCCACAGATGAGTGCTATATATAAGGTAGGGCCAAGTTGATCAATATACACCTGTAAAATATCAAAAACATTTCTGTTTTGTTATTATCAATTACTATCAATATACAGCTGGGCTTTGAGAATCCAGCTACCTTCATTTATAACCAAAATCGCTGGATTGTTAATATTTTTTGGTTTCATTTCTGAGACACATTTGAACAGAAAAGGAGCTTTCTGTCCAAAATGATATACCTGCTTGGGAGGCGACACCTCCACGGGGTAGGCTAAAATTTTGAGAGGGGTGGAGGGGGGGGGGTGCTATTTATATTACTGCACCTAAATGCTTCACCCTTTCACCACTGTATACCATAATGGACTCATCTAGATCAATGCATGGTAGAGTCTACTAAAGTTACATAGGGGTGAAAGGGTTAACTAGGCTCATGATTTATTAGGCATTTTTCAGGCAATACCGCTTTCTTTCTCCCGTCATTATTCTTTTCCTTTATTTTATTGTCTTTTATTTGTCAAAAGAACTGCAGGAGGTGTTCCAGATTCCCAAAACCTCCATCCTACCATCAAAGAGGCCTCGATAAGTTTCGTAAACTTTGCTCAATCCCGTGCAACTCATTGCAATAAAGTATGTTTAAACTAAACTATAAACTATTAAAATCGGTACCTGAAATGGATTAGCAATGACTGAGTAAAAGAAATGTAGATCAATCATCTACAGTGGCCGATTTGTGCAATTTCATTGCTCAGGTTGAAAGGACACCACAACGGAATTGAAGTTTCTTGATTCTCATCCTTTCAGGACGAAAAGACTAATGAACGAAACTTTAAATTTTGTAAATCTATTTTTTTCGCCCAAAACAATGAAAAGGTACGAATCAGCCACTATACTCTTGAGATATTTTCTTACTTCAGTTGATCTTTGACCCTGATATAAAATTGTGTTAACATTGTAAATACTGACAAAGATATCAGGTGACCTTGACATTATTAGTATTGACCTAATTATCATGTGACCTCGATATTGTTGAAACTGACTGGATTTAAATGACATCAGGCCCCTTAACTCATTAACCCCCCTGAAGACACATTTGAACTCTTCCAATTTAAGGTTTGGAATAGTTCATTATGAAATTTCAGGGGCATATAAAGAAATTTATAAAGCTTCTGTACATTATTGAGGTAAACGAAAATTTCCTCAACTCAGCACTGCTTTTCATAACTCATTAACCCCACTGAAGACACATTTGAACTCTTCCAATTCAAAGGTTGGAACAGTTCATTATGAAATTCCAGGGGTATATAAGGAAATTTATAAAGCTTTTGTACTATTATTGAAGTAAACGAAAATTTCCTCAACTCAGTACTGCTTTTCATTAGTTCAGGAATTTCCTGATGTTAAGAAACATCAACTCAGTACTTGCTTTTCATAAGTTCAGGAATTTCCTGATGTTAAGAAACATAAACTCAATACTGCTTTTCATAAGTTCAGGAAGTTCCTGATGTTAAGGAACATCAGCGGGACTCTTAGCAATAATGTTAATATACTGACCTTGATCATATAAGAGACGACCAGGCAGAAAGACGCCCTCATGCGTGTTGATGGAGGGACAGCATCTATATATAGTAACTCATTCTTCCAGCTCCTTGTCTGTCCCTGTAGAACACAGAGCGTTTCTATCTGTGATATCATACACTTCTGGGATGTGATAATCAGTGGGGGAAAACAAAAATGTCGGAACAAAGCACTAATGCATTTAACTACTAGTCTACTCCGAGGTTTCAATGCCTATTATTCCTAGTATTCAAATGTAGTTGAGTTACATTGTTTTTAGCTTTCTCTTATGTTCCTAATCTAAAGCCTAAGTTAACTTGTCTCCGCACAATTTGGTTACCTTGTGCTTTGCTTACTTTGAGTTACCTGGTGTTTTGCCTATTATGAGTTAACTATTGTTTTGTCTATTTTGAGTTACGTAACTCACTTGTGTTTTCCTTACTTTTATTTCCTTGTTTTTTGCCCACTTTGAGTCACCATGTTTCTAGCCTACTTTGAACTACCTTGTGTTAGCCTACTTACAGTAACCTTGTGTTTCTAGCCTACTTTGAGTCACCTTGTGTTTCTAGCCTTCTTTGAGTCACCATGTTTCTAGCCTGCTTTGACAAATTGAGTCACCTTGTGTTAACAAGCCTACTTTGAGTTACCTTTTGTTTCTAGCCTACTTTGAGTTACCTTGTCTGTAGTTAAGGGTTACCTTGTCAATAGTTTTTTGGTATGCAATTTTTCCCTTTATAAGGTATCTTCATCTATCAAAAGCAAATAGCATGCCCCTGTGTTCAATGTTACCTGTCCAATGGGGTCTGATCCAGTTTTTGTACAGATGAAGGTTTTCTCTGTTTTTGCGTCTCCGTTGGCATTGTAATCCACACTCTGTACCAGGGAGACCTTCAGCTTTCCTAAATCTTTTCTTGAAGCATTGACAGCAACCACTTTAAATAAAATTGTACCAATTAAAATCAGCAAATTATTGCGAGTAGTCCATAGTCTACCACCCCTAGATTGTTATTCCCTACTGAACGTTCAGCATTTGGGGTAATATCAGCAACTGGTTCAACCGTTGTCGGTATAATGTGACCGGGCGGAATGCTGTGCTGGGTGCCTTCGGCATTGTATTTTTTTGAGGTAACACTATAAAGTCGGCAGCAGATCTTTGCTTTCACAAGGAGGCTAAAACACCAACATACCCTACTCCCACCACGCATACACAACACACATGGAGGCACGTCCTCAAATGACTTTAGCTGTTGATAGGAAGATAAACCCTATACTGTACCACCAAGTTGGTACCAACCAATCCCTGGACAAACTTTGGCATAAAAAAATAACAAAGGACCATAACTCTGTATATAGTGGGGCATGAAATGTGTTTCTTTTCTATCTGAATTCTCCACCACTCCTAGAGCATAAGCATAATTTGACACGTGTTTGTAACAAAATACATGACTAATGTCTCAGACAAAGTGACACACAATAAACAAAGAGACATATAACTCTTTATAAAGTGGTGCATTTGCAATACCTGATTACAGTACTTGGTATTTCGCCATCCCAATAGTTACTTGCATACATAATTTGACAATCTTAGTTGATAGAGCATGACATTCATGGCTAACAAAGTGACTTATAGAATCTTCCCCTACCCTCGGGGTGATGTTTTTTGGCTGTCTAACCCGAGGCTCTGCCGAGGGTTGGACAACCAAAAAAATCACCCCGAGGGTTGGAGATTTCTCTGTCACACCCTCAAGGTAAGGGATGATTATTTTTCTCCCATCCTATTATTTCAGTCACAGCTCGACCGACAGTAGTCTGTCATGTTTGTAAACAAAAACACAATTGTGAGGTATGCATGTCGTCATTCACTTTTGATGACGTCACAATGTTACCGATGACACATTTAATGACGTCACAATTGAACACGTGCTAATCAGCACGAGGCTATCTCCCCCTAGGGGGTGACAAGCTGATCTTTCCCGGCTAAAATGGGAGACACACCTGTGAAGGGTGGGAGAAACACTGACTCACCATCCCCGACAGACAGAGTGCAAACATATACACCCCTCCGATAGTCTAAGTGGAAATGTTCAATTACTAAAACAAAATTTCAAAATAATATTTAATGGTATGTTTAGTTGTAAATCCCTTCATTTGAACTAGTTATCTCAATAATAACATTGATCAATATTGTACAGTACAAATAGTTGAAAGCGCTCAATGAATATTTCTGCTGTCCAAAATTTATAATTACATCCAGTTTGAAGTTCCTAAATTATATTCAGATTATATTTTGACCTATATGGCGTATTATAGACTATTATTAGTTCAGAGAAAATCAAACAATCCATTCCAACTCTCCCACAGTTCATCACTTTCAACTTTGGGCATACCCACCTGTTACAGGTATGGCCTCGCCAGCGCAAAATCCAGTCCTGGGTATCTTGGCTGTGAGAGTTACTTCCCCTGCATCTCCAAAACCGAGCAACTTGGACAAACGTGTTGACTTCTTCCTTGTGACTGGTTTCTAAAAAACAAGGAAGATTATTTAAATGTTGGTATATGCTTGTATACATTTCATAGTGTGCAATTATGTACAAATGTAGAGCGGAACTGGACAGAGTCGATTGTTGGCAATCAGGTAGCTCAGTTGGTAGAGTGTATGTCTGGAGTTTGGAGGGTCCCGGGTTCAAACCCCAGTCCGGCCATGCATTTTTCCACTTCTGTTATTGTAAATAGTTGTGTATTCAGGGGCAAAGACAAGAAAAGGAGGGAGGAATGTAGCAGACTGGATAGGCTCAATTGGTAGAACGTCCGTCTAGGGTTTGGAGGGTCCCGGGTTTCGACCCTGTTCTGCCCATCCATTTTTCCGCTCCTGCTACATAAAAACCATCCCAGGCCCCAGCTTCAGGAATATATAACTATGTTGTCTAGATGTAATCCAAGAGGTAACAGACAATTTAGGCTTCAAAAGCAGAAGGTGAAGACATTTCTAAGGTCAAAAAGGCAGTTGTTACTAACCTTCTAATCTAATAATACCCTATTGTCACTTCCCTGGTTCTCACATTGAGGACATGACATTGCTTGAATGTATTCCAGATTTACATGGTTGGTGTTGTTAGTGAATTACACAATGGTTATCCTTTAAGAAAACTTGGTCTTATTCTCCTAATTTGTTAAGGGCTTCCATGTAAATCTTTCATTTGTTCATAATTTGCCACAATGTCATAAATTTTTAATGTGAATTTATATTTTTTTTACTAGCACTTTCATATTATCAAATCACTTTTTAAGGAAATTCCTTAGCTGAAGTTTTCCCATTGGAAAGCATTGCTAGAGTTCTGGGGATTTGTAAATTTTGCAAATTTTCCTTAACTCTGAAATGCTAAATTTCAAGGAAAAACCTTTTGAAATTAGGCCAACCTGACAGCAAGTGACCATAAATACTATGGAAACATGCTCTCCTTAAAACTTATGTTCTGCTATTTTCTTAGGATTTCAACACTTGGAAACTAAAGTTAGCATGTATAATCCAAAAAACAAATACCAGGTAAATAATGGAAAGAAGGAAGAAAATGAGAACTGACAAGGGAGATAACTCACACAAACACGTAGGGAATAATGTACCTAGGCTACTTTAACATCCTTAATCAGCACCAGTGTTGGACGTAAACCAAATTATTCATTGTTTGTATAAACCTAAGCAATAGGAAACAAGTGCCTCTACTCAAAATTCTTAAAGAAATTATAAATTTAGAAAAGAAAAATAAACAGTAATAGGAAAGGACAAACTTACAATATCATTACTTACAACTTAAAATACTGTCAGGTGTAAAATTGACCCATTTCTGATCTGGTTGACATTATACATTGTCAATAACATTACCATGTTAATTACAATGTAATTTTGTAGGATGTGTAAGACGTACCGGCCTATGCCCGATTGACAATTAGTAAAGGTCTGAAATATATTGTTTTGAACATTTATGAGGTCATAACAACATATTGGGTTCCTGGACATATTCCATGAATCATGCATAATAAGTAATTCATGGTTAATATGTCCATATATCCAATGTTGTTATGACCTCATAAACATTTTTTTTTTTTTAAATTTGCCTTATAAATTGTATTTGCATTTTTAAATGCTTTGTAGCTATTGATGCAATACCGAATAAATAAAAAAACAGCTATTTTCTTAATTTTTTCAAGGGGGCAACACAGTTGAGAGAACAGCATTTATTTTTAAGGAAATTATGAAAACTTTTTTTTATTGGAGCTCCTAGCAACAGCATGACAACAAAACAATCAAAATGTAGATCCACTTTCAAATTTTTAGAATATTACATATAATTTGTTACTATCGTTTATTTTAAGCAACTTATTCTATCTTTAACATGAATGCAATAAAGTTGAAATATTGTTTTAATTATACCTAGCATCATGGCAATAAACTTAATAAGGGTGGATTCACAGAGGAGTGAACAAACTACGCCAGTATTATGTAATGTGGCCTGACATTGTATTAATACGCATTGTGATGAGGTCACCTGTGTTATGCAAAAATGAATGGCATTTTCATCAATGGGTCAAAGGATACACAATGTAAAAAATAGTGTTTGAAATTGAAATAGAATTATTATCGATTATCAGGAGACCTTTCATAAACGATTATCGATAATAATCGGAATAAAAAAACTTTGTTTGTAACTTTTGAAACATGTGAAATGTTTAAGTATTATTGTTAAGTGTCGGGATCTGAATGTAAAATCAAGTGTTGTGCCCTAAAGATTATTTTTTATATATTTCAACTTAATTTCACATACATTCAGTTTAATCCATTAAAGTAAATATATTGTGTACTTAAAAACCCATTGATAAGGTAACATTTTAGGTAGATGATGAGAAGAAATTTATAGAAATTAGCATTAAATAATTTTAACCAATTGATAGATTAAGGAATCTCACAACCAATTGATTGATTAAATAATGTCACAACCAATTAATTGATTATGGAATTTCACAACTGATTAATTGATTATGGAATTTCACAACTGATTAATTGATTATTGAATTTCACAACCGATTAATTGATTATGGAATTTCACAACCGATTAATTGATTATGGAATTTCACTTTCGATCAATTGGAACCTGTTGTGTAATTAATTGATTTTCAATTATAATTGATAATCGGAACAATATAGTAAATAACATTAATTACTTACAGAATAATATTGCATATTTATATTCACGTCATCAATAAAAGTAATGCATTTATCGCTGATCACATCTCGCCATGGCAGAGGTCGGGAAATTTTCAGGAACAGCCAGTACCGAGAACAGCCTCTCTTTCCCTCAAAAGACGAAGGCATTTTGTCCGTTGGCAAAGGATAGTTGAAGGGATATTCATACACTCCTGCTTCAAGTGTGGTTTTGTCATATACTGCAAAACAAATAAAAAATCTGATAAAGGTTGAACAGCATTTTTTCTTACAATTTCATGCAAGTATGAACCAAAATCTGTTATATACATATTGAAAAACTACCAATCAATCTTTATATTTACATTCTAAATTCTAGTATTGACCTAAATACAGATATTCCCTTATATTATTTCCATTTTAGTGTTTGTGTCGTCAGTGCAAACAAGATTCCTGGAACAGCGTAACATCACCAAAATGTTTGCTATTTACGGTTGTCTCATGTTAATCGAGGCAGGAGCAGAAGCTTCAAAATGACGCTGATCAAGCGGCGTTCATAGCTCTTTGAATGCAATTTCTTCTGGTAATGCTTATAGAGGAACTTGCAGTGGAAATGTAAATATAAGGAAATGGGTACCAACAAGTTAAAATGTATACTAATACCTATGTCAATGAGAAATACAAATGTATAACTTTCTCAACAGAAGCATTCAATAAAAAAAAAAGCATCAACTGCGATGCATTTTACAGAGTTACAGATGTCCGAAATGTTAATGTTTGAAAAAAATTACAAAAATTAACAGAAAATTTACAGCAGCGGTTGAATTTTTTAATATACTGCTTATTTTAGCCTGCAATTCATGTTCACCAATACTGACATTCATGAATTATAGATGAACAGCACCAAAACGGTAGTCCAATTTATGGATTGCAAAGTCTATGCATGTGTAACATTTCAATTATTGAGGAATAAAGATATAAATAAATGAATGAATGAAAGAATTATGATATACACAAAGTATGCATGTGGAGCCACTTATGTGATGATCATGTTTGACACTTCAGTTTTGATACAAAAAAATATATTTCTTCTGGCATGCCAGATAACTTTTATACAAATGCACATCCTTACATGTTTTCTAAGCAACAAAAATTGAGGAAGTTTTAACAAAGTATGAAATGTTTATTTTAATCTCCATGTAGGCCTAATTATTTATTTTCAAGAAACATCATTTCAATCGATAAGTCACAAAAAAAAAAAGTAAATGCTGTTAAGTTTGACTCGGCGGAAAATTTTTTAAAAAAAATACTAACGCCAATATCTAGATATTTATCCTCATCATTGCAAGCATTAACAAAAGAAAGATGTGTATTTTTTTTACTTGATCATACACATAATAAAAGGTTTTAAATGTATCTTATTCTCGGGGCCCCGTAGAAATTGTCAACAAAATGAATCAAGCTAACAAAATGTATATGCACATTTAGAACAAATAAAAACAAGCAAGCTAACAATACTTTTATAATTCGTCATCTGACTTACCGACATATTTTTTCTGGTTGGTGTAATGTTCCCGGGAAATGAATTTTAGGTCAGGTGCTCTGGCATCGCTGTTGGTTTCTGTCCATTTGACATATGACTCGCCATTCAGACTAATGGAGATATCATTAACTGTCACGCGCTCGTTTACATGCACTCGCCACACGCCCTTTACCGCCTCCCCAGAGCGATACACCTCCTTACCGCCATCTATTGTCACAGTTATATCGCCAATCTTACCCATCGCTCGATGAACTCAGATTAATGTCTGTCACCGGAGTTTCAGACTATTTATGTGTTTATCTGGGTCTGGGTCAGCGCTATAGTTTTGAAATACCTATCCGCCCCCTTTTTATCGGTAACTTATATTGTTGTCACCTGAATAACACCAACGTATGGTTAACCTACTTTCGGTTTACCTATAAAATATACAGTGATATTACGCAACTTCTACAAGGTAAGCGACGCACACTGACCGGAAGCTCAGTACCAGCCTCGGTAAATATTACCACATGATCAAATTGCATGTGGTAATTAATAAGCAAGGTACAGGTTACCGGGAGTGTCCATTTAAAAATATTCCATTTTTAAGATGATTATTTGATATCAAGCACAGGGACATAATAAACCCCTATCATGTAAAAAACTACTCTGAACATCTTAGTTTAGGTCCAAATATAGCTGTTACAAATTCTCAGATACCTGTGATATCAAGCTAGCCTAACAGGCAAGGCAGAATATTAAATTTTCTATTTTTTTTAGTTTAATGGTGGTACTTTTTTTTTTTTTTTTTGTAATTGCAATACTGAGACAAAATGTATACAGCATATTACTAAAACCAAAGACAACAGTAATTAATGGGAAAAGGGCTCTTTGCATGCTACTGACTTGTCACAAAAATGATGCAACGGGCAGCACAAAGTAAACGGACGTGACTTTATGTATATTTAAGCGACTTTTATAGTCTTTAAAACCTTGTAATAAGATAATATAAATAAAGATTAACATAATCATTCCTCACTAGGGGGTACCTGGTAAGACAGAAAAATCTTATCCTGATGGGTTGAGATTTTTCTGTCATTCCTGAAGTGGGGATAATGATTATTTTTCTCCCACATCAAGTGGTAGTTTCATGAAATTTTGATTTCATTTTTTCTCATTTGCCTGTGTGTATTAGATAGAGCTGTCCAGGGTAAGAAAGCGGTGTAAGAAATTAAATTCTATCTTGCACCCCATTTCACGTGACGTAACGTCACAATTAATGGCTCAACAATGACGTGACGTCACAAAAATTGGAAATCTCCCATGCTACAATACGGAAAAGGCGACGTGATGAAATTTAAACTTTTTATGATTTATTTACCCTATTACGTTAGAAACATGGGATTAATTTTGCTGCACAAACTCTGCTTGCAAATATGGGGTATACTGAATCTATCTGACAGATTAGTTTTCATCCACAAAGCTCACAGGAAAAACTGATATTTTCAAAATAGTAGCCAATCCAAATGCATTTTCATGGTTTTTGAGGTTATTCTGGTAGTTGGAATGAGAGAGAAAAATACTCTTTCATGCCCATGTGTGTAGGATAGGGAATTTTCTCCCTCTGGATTTTCAAATTTGAAACCCCCTCGGGTAGAATTTCCCTATCCTACACCCCTGGGCATGAAAGAGTCTTATATTCGCTCATTTCCCTGTGATAGAGCTGTCCAGGGTAAGAAAGGGGTATAAGAAATTCCTATCTTACACCCTATTTCACATGACGAGACGTCACAATGGTTTGGAACTCTCCGATGCTGCAATGCGGAAAAGGCGACGTAATGAAATTGAAACCTTTTTATGATATATTTACCATACATGTTAGAAAGATGAGATTTTATTTTTTTTGCAAACACATTGATTGGAAATATGTGATATGCTTAATCTGGCTGGCTAATTCGTTTTCGTCTAAAAAGCTAAGGGGAAAAAATTATATTTTCAAAATGGTTGCCAGTCCAAATGCATTTTCATGATTTCTGAGCTTATTCTGGTAGTATGAATGAGAGAAAAATACTCTTTCATGCACAAGGGTGTAGGAAAGGGAAATTTCACCCTTGGGATATACAAATTTGGCAAAACCCTCAGATGGAATTTCCTTATCCTCACCCTGGGCATGAAAGAGTCTTATAATATTTCCCTGACTGTAAGTGTGGACATCAATTGTCTAATGGGGGATAAAACACAATCTTCACCTTCAGTGAGGGCTTCAAACAGATGGTTAGACATTCAAGAATCTGAAAGCTTTGATTTCGCCAGCAGTAAGCCTCAGCATAGAGAACTGTTCTTTTTCTCCCATCCTATCAATAATTAACATTGGAAATAAGAAGTTGTAATCTACGTTTTTTTCCAGACTGGCAATTGACCTCCCTTGTCGAAGGCTAATTGTGATGTCATATTTTATTGTTTCCCTGATGTCATCATATTGTTCCTTTCCGTGCAGCATAGATCTGTCCTACCCTTGAGGGCAACTAATAGAATCTTTCACCCCTTTGAAGGTGAGATAGGAGCCTCGTGTTTGGGTACTTAAGAATCTTCCCCCTCGGGTTGAGATTCCCCTATCTCGCCTACAAAGGGGTGAATGATTCTTTTTCTCTTACCCTGTTCTCCCATTGTGTATCATATTCACAATGTAATGTGTATTGATANGGGAATCCCCCCGTCTTAACCCTAGGGTGAGACAAGAAAATCTCACACCAGTAAAAGTGTGGATACACCTGGCCAGGGTAAGAGAAAATATAATCCCCCCGTCTTGCCATACACCATTTTCTGATGTCATGATCACCATACTCTTCTTATGACGTCACAGTTAAGCGCATGCTATTCTGCATTGGGTTATAGCCCCCTAGGGGGTGACTAATAGAATCATTCACCCCCTTTGGGGTGAGATAGGGCTTTGCCGAGTGTTTGGCAACTTCAGAATCTTTCCCCGAGGGTTGAGATTCCCCTATCTTACCCACAAGGGGATGAATGATTCTTTTTCTCTTACATGTACCCTGTTTTCCCCAATGTGTGTCATATACACAATGTAATGATAACGTTACATGTTAATTCAGGGTTGACGTGACGTTGATGGATTGTTGACGTGACGTCATTGTATTGTTGCAGTGACGTCATACCATTGTTATAAATAGGGGAATCCCCCCGTCTCAACCCTAGGACAGAGACAGATAAATCTAGCACCGGCAAAATGGGAGATAAATCTGTCAGGTGTGGGAGAATAGCTGATCTCTCTCAGCTGAAACAGGAGGTTTACCTGTGATGGGTAGGAGAAAGAGCAATTTCAGTGAAAAGTTTGAGAAATGAATGTCTCTTGTTTTATAACACATTTCCTGAAATACCAAGTATTTATCTCGGATGAAGAAATCTTTTCAATAGATGCATTAAACATTTCTAGAATTACGGAAATGAACAACAAAACTGAGATTGTTTTAGTATATTAGTTTTATTGCATATATAATAATATATCATGGTAAAAACTGTGTATAACATTCATGATGAATGAGATAACGAAATGGAATTGACCTCACCAAACAACACATTGTTGTCAAAACAATTCCTATAAGTCTGCTGTAAGCCTTTTATCATTTTCTCTCTTTTCACTATGGCTAACACTGAGTACTGACTCCAATATCTAATGACCTCAAAACACTTAAAATTATCAAAAGTGAGGTTTAAGCGAAAAAAAGCCTTAACCCTTGAGGTGTTTTCAGAATTAGAAAAAACGATTGATTGCAATATGGCAAGACTGACAGAATAATTGACAAGTGTCGTGAAGCAAAGATGTGATTTCTTTAACCCTTTCACCACTGTAGACCATAATAGACTCACCCAGATAAATGTATGGTAGAGTCTACTAAAGTTACCAAGGGGTGAAAGGGTTAAATGCAATAAAAACATGTCTGTACAAAAATAGACCATGTTGAAAAATTCCTCGATAAAAGAGAATATTTGTCAAGACGAAGTTAGTGGCAGGAAAAGATAAAAGGCACATACGGTATCGAGGAGACTTGTTTTCTATCCTTGTGTCCCACAGTACTGACATTACAACACAGGGGCTTGTTCATTTATTGGGAACAACCTGTTTGTCAGTTTTTAAATGTAACATTTTCGGATATAAATCCTGGCAGACCTGCAAATGATTTTAAATGCAGGTCTTTCAAGGCTCATCTGAAACTCGCATCAGAGTACTTTGTCCAACCCTTTTTCATAAACGAACAACTCTGGTCCAACCGGTCAAACCGTTTGGATCATGATAAACGAAAATGGCCGTGGTGTGCATAGCTGTCTATCTGTATGTTCGACAGTATTTACAGTGAGAAAACAAAGGATGTGAAGTTGTTTGTATGGCTGACAATGTTAACAGAAGAACGATAGCTATAACAGAAAACCTACATGGATCCAATGTTGACATATAGCAAAGGAAAACCCATAAAATAGGATGTCAACAATTTACAAAATGGTCACCCCACACTGTTTAAAATACATTGTTACACAATAGTCTTAAACAATATCCTTTCTTATATAAAAAAAAAGACAGTTACTGATAAACAAAAGCATGGACCTATGAAGTAAAAAAATCTTGTTCTCCAGAGCACCATCAAATAGACTTGGTTGGCTTTCAGGCTAACGGACAATGTGCACACATCTTAACCTGTACTGAAATATTACGATATTCACTGATGTAATGATTCATATCGCAATTAACAAGGACCCTGTAAAGTATTAGCCTCAGCTTAACACGTTTTTGATCCTCATGAAATAAAGTTCATTATTATTACAATTTTAGGGTCAAATGCAATTGACCTTAAAAATAAATGTAATTCTTAATTTTGCCAGATTGAAACATTTCCAAAATCATTAAGAAGAATACCTACAGATATTTGAATTATTCTTGAGAAATTCACCCGAAAATTTTGATAATTTGAATTATTCTTGAGAAATTCACATGAAAATGTTGAACGATGATTTGACAAAACACAGGTAACCAATTTGAATGGCATTTCTGATCATGTAAGCTCAAGTACACATCAGCGGTTGAGTAGTTCTATAAACAAGTAGGAACTATACGCTACATTCATGTAATGGTCCACTGTTGCCAGTAAAAAATGTCTAAAGTGAGAAAAAATAAAAATTCCGAAATGTGAATATTAAGTACATGACTGAGCCGTTTTATGCCCAGAACATTTGTGGTCACCAACATGTACTTGATCACAACACTCATGAATGACGTTTATATGCATATTTATCAGCTGCTCAAAATAGCTCACAAAATGATGACTTTCTCAAATAT